TGAAACTGTTGCAGGTGCAGGTGCTGTGGATGGTGTGGACGCTGTGGACGCAGTGAGAACTTCACTGTGAGTTGCGTCAGGTGCTGCAGCGTGGGTGTCCGTCGTTGCATCTGGCTCCGTCTCATCAAAGACGAGGTACGGATCCTGGCCCAGGCCACAGGCAAACATGTGCATGTGCTTCGGCAAACGAAAACCCTTGGCGATTTGGGAATTTCCGAAAACGGGGACCCTAAGATAGTGCCCTAAATAGCAGGATCTTCATTATAAATACCCCAAAATAAGGTACCCCTCATTCTCGGAAACTGCCATTTCCCTTACAGGAATGCCTCAAACTGCATCATGCCTCCACAGCCATCTGCTCCGCTTCCACACTGCAGCTGCGGCTACCTTTGTGAATGACTCGGATGACGAAGCTCCAAACTGTATGATCTACTCCGGATGCCATCAGCTCCCCATCACCAGAAAGAACTCACTAGCAGTTTCGGGCAACTCGCTTAAGGCGCAGCAAATGTGCGTAATGACCACCTATCAACTCAACATCAGTGGCTTGCTGCAGATGCAAGTCAGGCTGTCAGAGTTCTTACACTACGTGTACATAGGACAGAAATCTGAGGTGGCAGCGTGAGCGGCGTTTGGGTGACGCAGGCTCTGGAACTGCCGGGGCCGTTGTGGATGGGGGTGTTGCAGCTGGTGGCGGCGGAGGTGGCGCATGGGCAGGAGGCCATCCTGTAGAGGGTGCTCCATGTGCGGCGTGTGGCACTGCATTGGGTGCCTGCTGCGTGGGCCTGCAGTCGGTCGCAGGCCAACATGCAAGGGACGAGCATATGCAGCGTTCTAAAGGAGTCTGGGCCGCAGGCAGTCCACGCTGTTTCGCAAAGTAGGCAGCCCACTGCTGCTGAAGCAAAACTTGCCTAAGGCCATTGAAGTATGCTGAAAGATGGCTGCTGCAACTCACAGTATGCGCATCTGTGACTTAAACTTATGAGACGTTGACATTTGCCTTGTGAGGTGCATGTCTGTATGGTGTATGTATGTAGGCAGACACGTTTACACAAACACTATGCAAAAAATCCATGCATGCATCCGTTCATCCATCTGCCGTCTCACCTATCCACAAGCCCGATTGCATGCATGCATGCATGCATGCATGCATGCGTACGTGCATATAATCAGTAATCACACACATATACATGTATACATATATGCCATGCAACTTTATATATATATATATATATATACACATGTATATAGATATTTGTTTATGCACACTCTGCTCATTCACAGGGGAAGCTTCGACTTCGCTTATACTTCTGTTTGGGTGGCTGATAAACTGACAGTCTGGCAATTTCAATGCCCAGCCGCTGCTGCCACCAACCTGAAAAGCCAACTGGTGGCTTCTTGGCCTTGCATGAGGGCACCCGATATTGTAACTACGGTGCTTCTGTCGATGCATCCCAAAATTCAATTCGCACGGACTGCACACCGTTTCCATTGGATTAAGCTGGCAGCTGCTTTGCTTGAAGACTTGTGTCTCTTTTTCTCTTTCTTACGCTTTTTTCCTGGGTGGTATCAGGACCAAGTCTCCACAACACTGTGCTCAGCGATCGTTGCCTCTGGCTGAGCTGCAAACTGGATGCCTTGCTAGCTTCTTCCTCCGCCATGCAACATGTCTATACACGATATAATTTTACAATGTCGACTCAAGCACAACAACACATTGTCAAGCCTCGTCGTCCGACTCGTCTTTCTTAGGAGAAGCTTCGCTTTTGCGACTTTTGCAGCTGTGGCTGCTAACCTCTTCGGTTTTGCTGCGTTGGCTGGGCCTGCGGCTTGCAGGATGATGTGTGCACAATTCGGTATTTCGGGAAGCTAAGGGTGCTACGACCGAGATGCGACCCGCTTTTTGCCGGAAGACCTGGCAGCTTGCAGCTTTTTTGCGACCGCCCTGCCCCCCCAATCTCATCAAAACAAATCACAAGCTGCCCTCGAAGCACTGAATGCCTCCCACAACTTTGGCTTCGATCTTTCCTGCAACGCGAATGAGCTAGACACACACATGATGCACCACGCCGCTTGAAAACATGCAAATCAACGCTCACACCGAATAAGATAGTTCAAAGCACAAATGGTGCTGCCCATTCTCCTCTCATCCGGCTGCTTTGGCTGGTTGACTTCTAGGTTCTCATTCTCCTGCAATGGGGCAAAGCTCCAGCAATTCTGTGCCTCAACTCGGCGTCACGGCAGCCGGTTCACGTGCGACAGGCCTGGCTGTGGCTGGATTGGGCTTTGCCAGTGCCACCTGCACAATTCGGCCGTTCCAGGCCTTGCAACGTTTGAAGCATCCATTAATCTCCCGCCTTTGTCCTGGATTCGTGCGGCTCGACGCTGAGCAGCGCGACGCTTTGGCGCAGCGCCTCAGCCACTGCTGCATCCGAATTGCCAGCGAGGCCATGTTCGGGACCTCTTTGCATTGCCGCCATGGCTGCCACCGCTCGGGCGCCTGCTGCCTGACGTCTGTCGTGCTTTTTGCTGCATGCAGGTGGTTCCGTATCCGGGCTGGAATCGCTGGGGCACTCGTGCTTTCGGTTAATATTCAGATACCCTGTCGAAGCAGGTGAAAACCCAGAACAGCAGCCGGAAGCAGAACCCAACAATCTGAAGAGTCCTGTAGATTCAGGCAGATGTCTCTTGCCGACACGACTTTTTCCTTGAAGCTGTTTCGCGCAGCAAAACGGATCTGTGTTCGCGCTCCCATTGAGGGGCACTCTTCTGCGAATTGGGCATGCTTGGAATCAGGCTCCAAGTCTCGAGGTGGACGGCATCAGACTGCATAAAACGGATGCGAGATCTTATTTCGGCCCTTCAGTTGGCTGCAGTCCGCCTCATGCACCGGAAGCCCTGCGGCCTGCTCCCTGTGGAACAAGCCGCATCCATTTTCCTAAGACCAATTCAGGCGCACATACGCTGCTGCATGGCCTATCTGCTGCGACTTCTTGCACTGCAATTTCGATACCGCATCGTGCCCTGAGCAAGCTTCAATGAGCCAGCGGATGATGCTCAGAGGGCAGGAAAAGGTCAACTAATCTTGTTCTTAGCGTGCAAAGATGTGCAAACGATAGGCCTGCGAACAACCACGTGCGCACAGCTTCCTTTCCGTCCAGGATAACGGTTCACAGGTGCTGTGCATGCCAGAAATCCGACTCAAGACGTTTCGCCCAGCCCTTCACGGAGGCGAGCCACGTCCAGGTATCATTTTCTTTCACACATGCCTTTGTCAGCAAAGGTTGTGATCTCCGGAAAGTCCATCTTGCAAAGCGGCTGATGATGGCTGAAGCCTCAGTTTCGAATCCTTCGCGAGCTTCCTACATGATGAAGCACTCAGGAAAGGTTTACTAACAGATTTCCTAACATAAAGCCCAGAGGCGATTGTTGACCTCCCAGATGATGGCTCCCCGTGCCCAGCTGATGTTGCCTGCGCTCTTCAGGAAACATTTCTTTCAAACGAGGATGGGGTGTAACTGGAGTGCTCTTCGCGAGGTGGGTTGACAAAAAACCATGGAAGAGTAGATAACCCCCATGCGGAGCCACCGATCACCGACTTCCCAGCAAGGTCCGCAGGAACAGTGGCATTGGCACCTCGATCCTGGGCCTGAGTGAAGAGAATCTGGTGACTCTTCCTGGCTCAGACAGAGATAGGCCATGGTGCATTTAGGCCTACATCTGGAGGCACCCTCAACTGCGATAAGTTTACCTACTGCCGGAAAGTTGAAGACCCTCCTCAGCAACAACGCAGCTGCACAAGTATACAATCGTGCCAACGTCTTCTCGTAGGTGTGTGTGAGTCAACGCTTTCCCTTTCTGCTGTTGTCCCTCGAAATGCTGAGCATCGTGCCAAAGACATGTCGCGTGAAAGCTGCAAACCAAACCCGATAAGCATAAACTTAAAGTGCAAGCTTTCCACAGTTTGCATACAATTGTCAAGCTGTCCCAGCGCAAATGCGAGGTTTTTTGCATGACGATACACATCAAGTTGGCGTCGTTGGCGTTGCGGTCGTGGTCTCTGGCCTACTTCAGTCAATATTTTCACGCGGGAGATGCACTTTGTAATGTCCGGTGGCTGCAGCAACAACTCGGAAAAGCCTTGCAACTGTGGAAACAACACCGAGGCGGCCAGCTGAAGCCACATTCACGGTTTCTGGCAATCATCTGAAACATAAGTACGACTAAAAATAAAGCCTCTGATTTGTGGGCTCATGTGGGCTCCACAAATTGACTTTCCCAGAACGAAGTATGGGCATGCAGGAGCCTCCCTTAGATGAGTTTAGGCAAGCATCTTGTCAAAGCCCAGGCCATGATGCAGGAGCACCTGGAATGGCTCTGGCTCTTTCCTGCTTTGAGCCTACAAAACCCGACGACCTGAAGAATTGAGAGCTTCCTTCCAAGTCAGGCATCGATGAGTTCAGACTATGCTGGAATTGTGCGGCACTAGCATCTTCAATGAGACAGAGCGGGGAGCTGTGGAAGTTTCCTGGAAACCCTCACAAGCACGATCGTCTCTCTGACTGCCACCCAAAGCACTACCACATATGTAGCGGAAAAGCAGAAGGATTGCAAGGCCTGGATCAGACGGAGAGCATGTTTTCAGTACCAGGCGCATGATCACATGCTGCGACCGAAATTGAGATAATCGCACGCTACACCTTCACAGACTCGTGCCCGAAGACACACATCTCTTGGACAGAACTGGCGCCGAGCACGCCTGTTCATCGAGGCGTTGCCACCTTTCATGAAGCATAGCCCAGTCCATCTTGCAAACGTACCTGCAGGGTCTTGTCTTTTGTGGTGTGTGTGTAAATGTATTTAAATGTATATGTATATATATATATGCATATACACATATATCCAAAAACAGTAATCTCTCTCTCTCTCTCTCTCTCTCTCTTCGCTTCGCTTCGCTTCTCAGGGGTAAGGTTCGCACGCGAACCCGGGCCCAGGCCCCCCCTTCCCCGTTTAGGCGGTGGAAGAGGCTTTGGGGTCTTCAGTGGTCGGAAAACTTTGTCCTGGTGGAAGGTGCGATCGGTGAAGTACGGCTGGCAAGGAACCCATCCCTCCCTTTACACTAACGCGCGTCCCGGCCTCGTCTCCGCGCTCTCTTAAGCCTAGTCCTTAGTCCCTCGCCAGCCAGGCACTCCCCCACGCAGAACCACCGCGGCCGGCAGACATTCCCCCTATGCAGCAACACGGCAAAGTATAGGACGTTGAGGGAATATAAAGTAATCAGTGCGCAGACAGCGTACCACAAGTACAGGCTCGTTCCCCCATCGGCCAAGTTAGTCAACTACTTCGGGTCCCCCGCATGGGCAGTAGGAAGCAACAGCGTAGAACAAGGAACCGTGCAGGTGACGAGGACGGCGGGTTCCCCTTACAGGAGGTAATGTAATAGGAGGCAACAGTAGGGAGTGATAATCCCCCCGTCGTGGTCCCCCGCAAATGTCGCCCCTTAGAACTCTAACACGAATTGCTGTGGGTGTGTCCCCTCAAAGTTTCTGTTGAATTTGGGCTCTTGGCCCATGCACTGTGGTGGGTTATGGCTCAGCGGCCCGTCCTATTACTTAGGTAGCAAGTTGGCTTAGGAAAGATCATGCAGGCTAGGGGGCCAGCAGCAAGCACGAAAAGCCCTAAGTACAATGCCCCGCACTACACAGGTAGACTCTTCACTGGCAGTCGGCTCCCTTGCAAAATTTGGGCTCAGTACGGGAACTCGACGATGCAGTCCTTTCTCTTTGCGCCGTCATGTGGTCCTGTACCCTGCGCACTTGCCAGGCCAGGTTGGGAGTGAGGCGTATAGCGGGCCTCTCTCCCCCCCTGTGTGGCTGTCGAGGTCCTTCCGCAGGTTCGCTCGGTCTTGTCGTGGCGGTGCATGGCCCGGCCTTCTGCGGCGGCTCCTCCGCTGGCTCGTTGGGCTTTGTTCCCTGGCTTCTGTCGGACGGTCGTCCTTCCGGGCCCCATGGCCATTGGTCCTCCCCCGACTCTTCTTTCTCCGGGCTGGCACTGTGGTTGCTTCCCCAGTCTGGGGGTGTCTCCTCCGACGCACTGCTCTCCTTTTTCACACGCTTAGCAGTCCTGTCCTCCGCCGGATCCCCCGAACTTGTGCCTTGAACCACCCCCTCTGCTCGCGTCTTGGTTTGGCTTGCTTCCCCCGAGGCACTCGTGGATCTCGCCCCCGTGCGCTTTGTCTTCTTTTGTGCCTTCATCTTCTTGCGGATCTTCCATGCCTTTGCCAACATCTTCTTGGTTTGGCTGGGATATCTCATCACATACGCTCGGTTTTCGTCGGCAACCTTGGGCAAGTATTTGTCCACGATCTTCACGAGGCGGTCTGCCATTCCCCCCGTTCTATATCTTTCGACTGTCCTTTCGAGAAACTGGGTATATTCGGTCTCCTCCTCATTGTCGAGCATCTGTTCGGTCTCCAGGTTTTTGTATCCCCCCTCACAGGGTTCCACTGCTTTTCCAATCCACCTGTCCATTGGCGCTGGGTCGTATAACAGGTGCAATCCCCCGTGGGTGACATGTGCGGTCTTCTGCTCCAAGGGCGTGCTCTCAGGCCCGGCCATGGGATGTCTTCCCCTGCTTGGGGTCCTCTCTGCGGCTGTGCGTCCCCCGCCTGGTGTCCTCTCTGCGGCTGCTTCCGGTGGCGCCGCGCTCTTTCCTCCCCCTTTGGCTGGAAGGCTTGGAGTTTGAGTACATCTGCCTTCCCTTCCGTGCAGCCTGCATCTTGGATCTTCTCGTACATGCACTTTACGGAACCCCAACTGGCACACCCCTGTTCCGAGCCTGCACACACGACATTGCTTGTCCCCTACCATTGTTGCGACCTTTGCTATCTTCGCGTCCTGGCCACTATCACGATCACTGAGGTCTCAAAGTTCGCCACCCAGCCAGGAGGTAGGATGTGCGAAGCTCTTCCCCCTCGTCGGAAAGGAGGTTGGTGGCACAGTGCGGCGCCTCCCCCTGGACAAGGCTGTTGGCGAGGCTCTTGCAGTCCCGAACTCGCGCAGTAGGCTGTAGAGCGGCAAACTTGCCGAAGACGAATATGGCGCTACCCTCCCCCGCTTAAGCAGAAACGCGGCAGGTATGCGACTCAAGCGCCGCTGGGGAAGATGCACAGGCTCTCCTGAGGGCACAACCTCAGGCCAACCTTGCGACTCCCCCCCGTGCCAAGGAGGGTGAACAGCCCTCCAGGACAAGGTGCGGACACTTGAGCCAAAATGGCTCTCTCTCTCTCTCTGTCTCTCTCTCTCTCTCTCTCTCTTTCTTTCGCCAGGGCTATGGGCAAGGGGTTTGACCCCCTTGCCCGCGCGCTTCAGCGCCCCCGACAGTTGCGGAGGTGAGCATGGGCAACTTGCAATCAGCCGGCTCTGAAAAGTACAAAAAGGAACACTCTTCGCTCAGCAACTGCAATTGGCACAGCCACAAAGAGCAGGATCAAGATGACATCGATCGCATTATAAAACCACGACTGGCCTCGCACTGAAGTTGCTGTTTCAGGGATATTCCCCGTGCAAGAGGTTCACATTGATTTGCCGGGTCAGTTACATGGTTCGGGTCGCAATACAAAAGGATCGTCAAGAAGTGCCAGTGCCCTCTCTCTCTCTCTTTCTTTCGCCAGGGCTATCTCTCTCTCTCTCTCTCTCTCTCTCTCTCTCGCTGTGTTAAAGCATCTCTATGCGTGCATGACCTGAGCAGATGTGCATTTGCGGACACGAGCTCAACACAGCTTTGATTGGTTGTGATAAGAAAGCTTGGCCTCTAGGCCCCTACGCCCCTTTTCTGGCTTTTTTTTTGGCAGGTGTGCTCTAAATTCCCTGCCACATGTAAGACACAAAATGCAAGCACGAGCCTCAACTCTGGTAGCTGAGTTCCTTACTTTGGGCGGTCATCTTCGCTGGCAACTTTCAAGCGGATGATGTCGACTGTACTTGCACAGAATCACTCCTACAGTGATTCCTCTTGCACAAAGAACAGTCTCCAGAACACCTCGCAATGGCAAATGATGCAAGCCCCCGGGCCTAGCAGTCGATTGGGCTGGGGGCTACAAGGTGTGTGTGGACACCGGGGGCGGTACTCGGGCAATTGGTCCCGACGAACAACCCCCAACCCTCCAGTCCCCTGCTATAGGGCGGCAGTACCGTAGACTCGTAGACCAAGCATGCAGTTGGAGGAGGGGTAAAACATCTAATGCAATTGTACTGATGGAGGAGCAAGTAAAAGCTCTACATGCGCGGTACGCATCCGGCCTATTCCCCGAAAGCCCTTAGACGCCAGCGAACAAATCATCAGTCTTTGATATGCCTCGGACTTTCCGGACAATATGGCAACACGACTATACACTGGGTCACAAGTATGGGCTCCCCGCGATTGGAGCTTTATGCGCATTCGAGGTTGTAGCGGTGGGGCTCCGTGGTTCACAATTTGAAGACGGTAACAACTTGGTCTGGCTGGTGCCACGGGCGTGAGAGCTGGCGCACGCACTTACAGGCATTGAGGCCACGCGACTGTTTATGGGACTCCCACGATTGGAACTCCACACGTATTCCAGGCTGACCCTTGGCGTCCAAGCTCCCCGCACCCCTGCACTCCTCATGTTGGGGTGCTGTGGGATGCAAGGGTCTTAGGGGGCTTATAGGCTGCGGCTACGGGTTGTAGGACGGCAAAGGCCCGCATTGGGAAGCGCGGTATTTGCGGTGCTTAGAAAAACAACACTTGCAATACTTATCGGAAGCTTGAAGTTGCTATGCCGACAACTCTTAGCACAGCCAAAGCTTCGCAACCCGACCCTGCCTGGCCGCAGTCTCGATGTCCTCCAAGGCTGTGGCTTCTGCCGGGAGGCCCAAAGCCTCTGCTAGGGCTTTGAGTTTCTCCAAACTCCTGGGTGCACGACCATTTTTCTAATTTCCTTCGAGAAGCTTCCACAACCCAGCTAAAGGCCGAGAAGGCCAAGAAGCGCCGGCTGCCTCGAGCGCTCGGGTAAAAGCTCCGATAACTGCGCAAGCAGGCCGACAGTTGCCTCTGATTCATGCTGTATGCAATGGGTTTGTCTTGCCAAGCTCCCTGACACCTTCTACATCAAGTCCCTGTACCGAGCTCCAAAACTGTCCAAGCTGCCTAAAGTCGGCTGGTATCGGCCATTGAAGGTACAGTGTGGCAAATAGCATGGAGCATTCTTGTCGAACAGCTCTGCGATTTTCTCTGCACAGTCTTCGTAGAGTCCCTGCAGTCACAGGCGGGGATAATGCCTCAAAATTCCCACCCGCTGGCTTCTGCTTTCTGCTGCTGAGAAGTCCTCATGCAACATAACCGTGCCTGGAAGCAGGAAGACGATGTCTACTTCGAGTCCGCTGGGGGGCGGGGGAGAAGATGGACACTTGAGACTGAGACTCACGGTTGGTTGAAGCAGCGGACAAGTGCAGCTCAGAACCGTCGAAGCAAGCCCAATCTAATTCAGGAACTTTTGCAAACAGAAAGCCCGATCCCTTGCTGGAACCCAGGCCTTGCCGTACCATGTCGCTCGCAGTGGGGAAGCACCATGCTCAGAGCTGTTGCTGCTGAGATTGCTGTTCTCTTCCTCACTGAGCTCACACATGACATGGACAGCATAGGCCGAGAACTTGTAACAACCCAGCGCACTGCATTCAGTCACTATCAGATACCGGCTGAAAACAGCCGTTGTAGCAATCTCTCCGGCAAGGAGCGCCAATCAGCAGCTCGGAGATGTTGCTTCCCCTGAAAACATCTTCTTCAAACCGTGGGTGCATCCGCTTGAGGAGTTGTACGGAAGATGTTTCATCATAGCATGTGTAGAGCACAACCAGCTGCTTCCAGCTTACCAGGGCTGCAAGTTGTCCTGTATTGAACATAGACACAATACCCAGTCTTGCGAGTGCTAGAAGGCTGTTTGGAGGTCTATCGACATGATTCGAAGGCACGCCAAGATTCAAGAAGCTTTTGCGCTGGTCTTTCCCCTAACATGCCGACGAAATGTGTTCTCTGAGGACCACTGGCCTTGGCATACACGGGTGCTCCAGGATCCTGGGCGGCAGGTGCTGCTTCCGGCTTCCCTCTGAAAGCCTCATCGCACTATCCTAACTCCTGTTGTATCACTGCAACCTTTGCAATGGATGTGATACAGTGGATGGACGAAATCTTGCACCAGCTGCTACAAGCGACACTTCTGAGGCTGGCGGTGCAGAACCTTTTGCACGCTGGCACGTGCTGCACACCGGGGCGGTGCGAGAATTTTTTGGTCGTTCGGAAAAGGCGGTGTCGAAGGCTTCCCCGGATCAATCTTGAAACGGAGATGCAGGGTTTTGACAAGACACAGTACTCAGTGTTGAATCCCCTCTTTTTGGAATCTAGCCTTGGCAGGCGATCGGCACTATTAGAAGGAAGTGTTATTGGCAAACGTATGCCGCCGGCTCGCAACATCAGAGATCCAAAGCTGTACAGTTTTCTCACATGTTGACAGTGTTGATGAGTGTGGCATCATGCGTTCGCAGGAGAATCCACGATTCGGGCACCTCTAAATTCTCTAGATTTCCACACAGAGGATGAGGGTAGGAGGCCGACCGAAAACCTCCGCCCACCTCCCGCAACCCTTGACCAGCTCGATGCCGAGACAAAAACCCCCGATTGGCTACCTACCTTGCTTCCGTTCCGCAGCTGGTGTGGCTTGACGGTTGCAAAATCACACATCTTATTTATGCCCAATCTTGCCGCTACAGTGACCACACCCCTCAAAAGGGCACCACTGGTCACCAGGGTAGACATCCGGTAGAAATCTTGCACCTGTATAAGCGACACTGCTGACGCTTGCGGCGCGGAGCTTTTTTCACGTTGGCACGTTATGTGTTTGGCTGACCAAGGCGGGTGTGGGATGCCATATACAGAGAGGTGTAATATTTCGTCCATCCACGGTGGCACCCTGGACGACTCCCTAGGTGCTGCAGCTGCGAAGCCTCATTCAGTCCCCTTCAGCCCGAATCTCATATCTAGATGTGTGTAGTGGCCTGTGGTACCCATTTGTGGAAATTGGGCCTTGTGGGCTTTGGTGCATAAGCCCAGCGTCGAGGTAGTCTCAGCCACCAATGCTCGCGCGATGAGCTGCCGCTGTAGTAATCGCCTTCGTTACAACTGATGCTGGGTGCGTGCTGGAAGACGCTGAATCTAAAGCTCATAAACGGCTTGAGTGAGGTCTTTGCATCCACGGAACTTTGACATGCTTCTGATTGCTGGGTGAGGGTGGATCGCGCTCGGATCTAGTCCTTCATGAATGCGCGCTTAATGGGGGGAAGGCTGACTGCCCCTCTTTACCTTCGTGTGCATCGTTGGAAAAACACCACATCCACGTTGACTTAGAGATACAGTGCCAGGCTTCTAGCAGTTTCAAACGGCTCGACTCCGCACGTGGCAGCTTCAGGGGGGAAGCGGGCATTGGCAGGCACAGGAGCCTTCCAAGATTTTAGTTCTCATCGGGCTCTGCGCATGAACCTAAACAAATGTTGCACTGCAACCTGCGGGTGCGAGACAAGCTGCTGTGCTTCCCGCAATCCAAACTGAAGGTAGGAGGCAGAGTACAGGTAGCTCTGTCGCCCCTGCCATAGCGTCTGCTACGACTCGAAACATGCAAAGCCTTGCAGTGCAGAATGCTGACTAGCCAGCACTCATGTCATGTAATTGCCAGGAATATGAACTGCCCGTCCCCGCTGCCTGCAGATGCACTGGGAAGGAGTGTTGTAGCACTGACCTGTCGTCCTGGACGAAAGAAAATCTAGCCGTTCGATCAAGGCCCCTCAGACCTAATTTGCAATTGTATTCAGGTATGTCGCTCATGTCTTCGGAAATTTGATTAGAATTTGAGTAGACCTCGCAGCCTGTCAGAACAAGGCAGAAAGAAAGCAAACACTTCGCACCTGCAGTCAATTAATTTCCTGCCCAAAACATCCCGAAACGAACCAGAAAATATGTAGCAACCTTTCAATCGACACCAGTGAAATACACTCCCTAGAACTAAACAAAGCCAAACTCAACAGACCCCAACTCACGACAAAATCAGAAACCCCAATCAGCTCGGATTTTGGGGGTGCTCTAGGCTGGGATGGCTGAGGTCGTGCTTCACTGCCTCTAAGCTTGCAATCCGGTGCTCGATTTTGAGGGGTCGGCCCGGCCAGCTTGTAAATCCCCTGTCGCCTCTGGCACGAACGTTATCTGCATGGACGCCCCGCCAAGGTCGAGGACGCCCAGCGAAACTTTGCTTGCATCCCTTGGGTGCGAAGACGCTTTGTCGAATTTGCGGAATTCGGAAGGTAGCTAGGTCCTGACAATCTCCGTGCAGAAGGTACGCAGGAACAAGTCCTTTTGAAGCTAGGGCTCTCTAGGAGTCCCTTCTCCGCATTCACAGCCAGCCAGCCATACGCCCCTGCAGAGGAGGAAGAAGGAACGCACCAAGCGCAATTCGACTCACCTATGCTGACCACTTTCCTGAGAAACGCCGCCGGCCTTCCTCCTCTCCGCTAAGTATCCTCACGAAATCAGGCTCCGAATGGAAGGAGCTCTCTGAGAGGACCGCCCTGACGGTCTGCAGCATTCCTCGCAACAGAGGGGTAGGGGAACAGTGACATCGGCAGCGACAGCGCTCAAGCAAGAAGGCACTCAGCACCATAGCCAGAAGAAGAATGCTGAGAACCACACAGCCGCAGCTGAAAAGCACCAGCAACGATAACGGAAACAACATAAGCATCACCGCGTACGGCAAACAAGCCATCATAGAAAAAAGTTGAGCACAGCATCCTCCAAGGCCGTTTGCTACGCTGAAATTCATATGCATGTTGGGACACAGCCGGCACGCTTCCAATAAACATGCCAATCAGTCTAGATTATTTGTCAATACCCTTCCCATTCCAGAGTCGGCAAAAACATGCTCGTCCAGAGCATCACCAAGTTAAGGTTCGTGCAAAAACAAAGCTAGACTTGGGCATGGGCAGGGATGGCCATGCGAGATCCCCGCAAGCACTCCAGAAACCGATGTATACTGCTGTCCGAACTTAAAAAACGAGTCTACAGATGGGTCCAGTCAGCGGCACCACCCGGAGTTTTCACAACAGCTACCACAACCACTTGGTGTGCCAGCGTGCTGAAGCTCAACACTCATCATTAACGAAGGAGGCCTTCGCGCTGATCGGGCCGCATCCGCCGAAAGCCGGCAGTGGCCATAAGGTACACAGGGAATTCGGGCCAGTCGTCCTTCCAACTGCATGACAGGTCCCGTTTTTTACATGCGTCCCAGCTCCAGCTAGCTGCAATGGTACAGCTGCGGAACTGCAATACTTCAACCTTGCAGAAACGAGCCTCCCGATCTTTCAGAACACCTTCCGCGAAGCTCAACAACTCTTGCAGTGTTTCGTTGAGCTTGGTCGTGCCCAGCGTTGCCAACCCACGATGGACCGTCTGGGAGGCGACAACAGAAGGTATGGTGACCTGCTGCAGGGCTCTCTGCAGAGTTTGTCGGCATGTAAGCCATACGAGCAAGGACTGTCTAGTGAAATCTAAGTGGCAGGAAATGGCGCATTAAAGTCGCACTTCTGCGCCGGCCACGCGAATACCCAGGCCCTAGAGCCACTGGAACCAGCATCAATTATGATGCCGTGGTAACCTTTGATTCGCTCAGCGTGAATGCAGCATTCAAACTTTCGTCCAGAGCTGACGCTTGACCAAAACGGGGCATTGCCTGACAAGCAGGGTCAAGGAATGCCAGGGAGCTGGGATCGGTTACGTTGACGTCGGAGATGTTGGCGCCAATCGCCAGGGAAAAGACGAGGACCTAGTGATGAAGTGTCCCAGATCCAAGCAGGGTAGAAGAGCACACTACGACAACTGCCACGGAGCCAGTCAGCTGTCTTCCGCTTGCCCACAAGGTCAAAAATCGTTGTAGCTGTCGAACATGTCGAACCGAGTGGCATGAAGTCCAACACGAAGGCCATTCCAACATCGTGGCAAAGAGATCATTCTCTCCGCTACTCGGTTACTCGTACAGGTCTTGTCTCCGGACCATGCTATTCTCGAGGTAGGGGTGCGGGCTCAGAGCATTGGGCTGGGCTGGCTGCGTAATGGGCTTGATTGAGTCACTCGACAACCACCATATTTTCATGTCTTCTCTGAGGAGCATGTTGTTCCCTGGGCTTTCCAAACTTCTGCTACTGAGCCAAAAATGGATTTCGGCGGCACATGTGCCTGGAGTTTACTCAGGACGAGTTGGCTGGAAACGCACAGAAGCGGAACCAAGACCTTGAACTAACTATGTAGTGTATGGGCTTTAACTTCGGGGTATGGCTATGAGCTTTCGGACTGAGCAGCATCTGGTAATGTCAACTCTGGCGGTGACAGGACCACTTCGATTGATCAGTTGCCTTCCGACGGTGCATGCTCTTCGCAACCCGAATGAGAAAGCCCTTGCGTCTACCAACGAAGCCAAACACTCTCAATGCAATCCGCCTCTCGTTCAGCATGGCTGTCCTGGCATCGAAGCAGCAGCAACATCTAGAGTACAGCACGACATGGTCTGATATGCTAGAGGGGGAGTCTGCAAGCAGATTCTATCATCCTGCTTAACATGAATTTACTGCGTCTCTCCTCCTCGTCTTCGTCGCTGCTGCTGCCGCCCGACTCGGAACTCGAGGAGTGTGACGATGGCTTCGGGTGCGGCCTCTGGAAACGGCAGCCACAGCTCCGTCTGGCTGTGTTGCCCATGTGATACAAGAGAAACTTGATACTCAACCGACATCGGTCCGCTGTTAGGGCCCGAAGCTGACACTTCAGCCCCTTACCCGTGCCTGCCATCGGGGGGCAAAGCTGGCGTGCCGATCTCTACGCTGGTGGACGCGTCGAGTTTGTCCGGGCCTCTGCTGATGTCGATGCCGAGGAGGGCTAATCGGCTATTACATTATCAGTCGCAGCGAAGCATAGCCAAGCTTGGTGCCGTTGTCTTGCGGCGAGCTCTGGAGCGACATGCCCGCGAGAGACTGGCTGCCCAGTCTGCATCAGTTAAGGTTTTTGGTTGACATGAGTTCCTGGCTCAAGTGTCTGCACAGCTGGCGGAGAAGACCCATCTATAGTGCTAAATACTATGGCTTTAACTTGTTGTTGTTTGGAACCCGAACGAGAGCAAAACACCCGTCTGACTGCTTTCGTAGCTTTACAGTCGTGAAATGTCGAGCATGTGGTTCGTATCGCAAATGCAGCCGTCAGGGTTGGCGTCAGGGACTATCGCTGCTGGAGCTGTGGCATCAAAGCATGCTTAGGCTTGTCTTGAGCAGCTGGTTCGGCCCGAAGCATGACTCCTGCAGTCTGCTAGATGCAGACTTGACGTTGCCAAGTCAAAGTCAGTTGGTGAGAAATATCACATCCTCACATGTAAGCTTTTTTGTGCAATCATTCTCAGCCTGCACTGACTTCGCCGCAGGTTTCAGCTCGATCAGCCAAACTCACCTACACCGCTAGAGCCGGCGAAGATCAAGTCGGCGCAAGGTGCAATCGGGCCAGCTCCAAATGAACGGAGGAAACATCCACTGCAAGCGTGAGCATCTTAAAGCGAATGCCACGCACATCTTCGCATGGCGCCAGCCAAGAATACAAACCCAGCAAACGATTGTCCCAGCAGAATTGTGAACGGATAGGAATGGGATGCGCTTCGACATTGAACTTGAGCTCCGCGAAGCACGGTCGCAGTCGCAGTCGACTTGGCCTCTGCCTCGTTGCATCTTGCTCTTGACCTACATCGAGCCAGTGTTCTGTCAGTTCGTCAGTCCAGGCAGGTTGTCAAACAAAGTCCAAGCCGCGAATCTCACAAGGCGACCAGCGAGGTGTGCTGCTTGAGATCACAGACTCATGTCATGCACTCTCTGTCGTCCGTGGGCACTGGTCCGAGTCATGAGCATCAAATGCCGCAGCGAAGCGATCTTGACTTGTGGATGGCAGCCGGCTCGGACATCCAATCAAGCTTCCCCCTTGCAGCAGCGTTGCTCTGTGAATGTGGAGTCGAAGCACGGCTTGCCTCGAATCATTGAAACTCCATTTCCCTACTACGAGCCGATGATGCTCATCTGCACCACGAACATAGCACAGAATGCAGGATGGGTGCGAAAACGCGATGGAATGTTCTTGTCGCAGCAATATCGGCCTCAATGCTTCACATGTCACCACATATGAGCGTGCAGATCCCCCCGCCCCGACGCTCCAGGTCAAACGCAGTTCTCAGGCATGGGCAAGAGTGAAACCTCGGCCAGAGTTTCAGCTTCGTTTTGCCATCTTGCTAGCTGCTATTTGCCACACGCAAAACTCTCACAACATAGTTGAGTGCCCCCCCGTAACAAAAAAAACATGCATCAGCTGCTAGAAAGCGACAGCTAAGTAGTCACAGCTAATTTGATGTGAGCATCTCCATATCCTTGACCACGAATTGGTGTCGATGGTCTCGCTCTTGCCACCGATTTCCTTGGCCAAGGGTTAACGTGTCACAGGCTGTCCACCCCGGCTGCAGACATAAATGAAAATTGTTTCAGAGTCTGCAACCGAACGACTTGGAGTCCAGCAGCTCATGCTCAGAGGAAGACAACCTTGCCACACGAGATGTCAGACGTTTCGAACACCGTTGTCATGTTCTCGAGTTTCTTTTCGCTTTCCGCGAAAGCTGCCAGTCCATGCTTGATTCGGTGGGGCAGCAACAGTCGGCGGAAGCATCCAAGGTCAATCAGGTGTGCCCTGAAACCTTCTACTAGTAGTATCGGTGCAGTCTGTACGTCTGACAATGCTGTGACGATTGACGAACGGCGAACATCTAGACTGGCAAACAAACATTGCTTGGTCGCATGCCGTTGCCGGGCCTACCTAAGATTTGCAGAAGCAGGCCCCCCAGATTTTGGTGCAGATTCGTCGCGTTGGACGGACGCCCCAAGCATTGCCACCTGTCATTTGTTGGTTCGCCGGCTTCTGACGTGTGCAGCCTTGTCTTGAGACGTACAGTCGAGAGATTCCTAGAAATCCTCTGTGCCTAATGACTCATACTTGCCTACGCACTACGTCTAGGCTAGCCTGGCTCGGGCAGCCCTGGTTAACACTTCCAGCCTTCTCTGGCTGCAGCTTGAAGTCTCCAGGGTAGCCGCTGACAGTGCCATTCGCAAACTGCTGCAAGTCCTCGAGCCTGGAAAGACCACGTGCAAGCGACCAGGCGGCTTCTTTTCGAATTTTTTGAACAGTGCTGAATCTGAACGTGCAACTTGGCCACTTCAGCGGCCACGCCGTCTTGGACAGGCATTGCTCCTGGGTCCCATCGTGCAAGCCCCAAGTCAAGGGCCACCACATGATACCATGAGCACTGTGCAGCCGATGCATGCAACTCTTTACTTACACACAACCTTTCCAAAAACATGCTTCAGTTGAGGGCTCCCACAACGTCTTCAGCAGATGCATACAGATATGATATGGATGGCCAGAAGTCATGCAAGTTTGTTCTGAAGACAATCGGTAAAGGCGCGCAGGTCTGACCCCGGTGCTGCAATCCAGAAATGTGCACGCCGCACTGTCTCGTTTCAACAACCTGCCGTCGCTTCCCAAGACCCCTAGGAATTGTTGAGTAACAAAACAAATCTGGCATCACTGCTGACAGCTGTCGACTGAAGGCACCAGCTTGGTAAGCGCTTCTTTCGCGCTTTGCGCTTTGTCCTCAGCATTTCCGACGGATCGAAACAGGACTCAAAGCGACACTCCCGCTCGTTCTGGGGTTTTTGTTCCCCTGCTCGCTTTTGGGTTGAACCACGATTCTACCCACAGCTGATGCCTGGAAGCGAAACGGTTGGGACCAAGCATATGCAAGCGATCGCTATTTTGTGGGTTTGCGTGGCTTCCAGCCTGAACTTCCTGTCCAAGGAAAAGCAGATGACGGACCACTGCCGTGAGCACTCCAAAGTCCCAATGTTTTCTGAGATGCGATCTATGCGAAGCCGAATCACATGCCTGCAAGTGTCTGCATCTTCGTGCATCAGGTGCTGTGAGCAGAGGACCGCCAGCGCCGTGAAGCCAATGGGGCACGACTCCCAATCAAATCCCAGCAGAATCGGATCGCACAGCGTCTTGGCTAGAAGAGCAAGGAGGGATGCGAGGAGTGTGTGTGTGTGTGTGTGGCTCAGGCAACCGCCAAGGAAGCAGTGAAACAACGACAACCAAGGCCGCAAACAAGTCGAAACTCATTGATGAAAGTGCAAAGGAACAGCTAGCCAGTCAGAATAGCGCCAAGGTGCTGTTTGGAAGATCTCGAACCGCATTTCTGGATCAACCGACAGGACCTACGGGTAGCAGCGCCCAAGATCAGCGAGAGGTGTGAGAGAAGGACATGGTGGTGGAAGCTGCATAATATATTCAGCGACCCTTGGGCTGTATCGAGTCCCTGGCTGTCAACACGAACAAAACCAGGTTGTCATCGTAGTTGCAGCCTCACTTGGGGAGCCCGGAGACTCTGACAGGGCTTGATGCCTGGAGCTTGGAATCTTGAAACATGGCGCAGCACCCAGGGGAGGTTTTCGGGCTGCAGGGAAAGTCTGCCCTCGAGACGCTAAGGAGACATGCCGGGTGGCGGCATCCTTCCACATTGCGATGCCAGTCGCTGTTAGCCTGGAAGAACTGCACAGTGCTACTGCATCCTCCATGCAGTATGCTTGCAGGGTCTCGTGCTGAAGCGCTTTTCTTCGGGAGCAGCTTTGCTTGGTCTTCTTCCGACCTTGGCAACACCGAGGCTGCCTGTGGGACGATTTTTGAAGTCCCCACCCCGGCTGAATTGGCATCCGCACCGAGCAGATGCTGGAACTCGTCGCATATCTAAGGCTGCAGCAGGAGAGGCAGCAAGTTATCGCGGGCTTCTTTGTAGGCCTGTGAATGACCAGTCTATGAAATTCAGATTTCACAATTGGAGTTGTGTGCCACCAAAGCACTACGTCCCATAGCAGATCTGCCGTAGTAATCCTTTCTGCCTCAATTGGCAGTTCACATGGCAGCATGTTGTTCCTCCACCTAGATCGGCATAATAGTCCTGTGCCACTTTTTGGGATGGAGGGCGGCCAAGTAGCAAAGACGGCTTCATCAACGATCAGAATAACTAAGAGGTTGTGATGCACACTTGTTCACCCGATCGGATTGCCCAAAAAAACCGGGACGCTGACCAAACTACACAAAATCACTTGTGATGCCTATTCACCTCTGAGCGAAGGTGTGGCTTTCGGTATCGAGCCCTATTCCCTCAATGTATTCGCAGCACTTCTGCATCCCCGATCTGAAAACGAGGTGCGAGTGGGACATCTGTGTCACCGACCAGCCAAAGATTCCAGTCCCCAGGCTTGAGCACATCGAAGGGGAGCATCGTGTAGGAGCTGCAGGTTCCCAGCCTGAACTCTGAACTTATACATTATTACTAAGAATATTATTACAACTATTCGTAACTATTCAATATAGTATATTTTATAGAAAAGGTATAATATAATATAGTTGTGTCTGTATATATATATATATATACATACATAAATAAATATGTCTATAGCGCCGCTTCGCTCCCCTGGTCCTCTCTGCCTTTGGAAGGAACAGAACGCGCAAAGCGCTGACAGGCGGCGGCGTCTCAAAGATCAGAACATCCATCCACAGGTTGCCGGGTTCCTTCCTTGTCTAGTGATGTTGGGTCGAACATTGGGCTTACTGTCTTGCGGTTTAGGCTTGAAGTTGAAGAGTTGTGGCACGGGTACAATGCACTCAAAGCTTTTTCAAATTCATCACGTTTAGTCTACGTTTTGATTAGACTTGAGAGATGTAAATGCTTTGCGCAGAGTTTGGTGGTGCTGGATATCCTCGCAACTGTGCGACAATTCCATCGTATACCCGAGGCTGGCCATACACCGACAGAACCTGAAAAACGGGTGGTGTTGAAGACGAGCACCCTACGGAAGTTCTGCAGAAAAGCGTCTTCTGGTGAATGTAAAGGGGAATATTTCGCCCATGCGGACCTGTTCCAAACAGATCTCCGGCTGGCCAAAACCTTGGATGCCGAAATAGGCTTGGGGTTTCGACTCACACACTCGTACAAGGCAGGCATGGCTTGCGGTTTCGGCGCTCACACTAGGGTTTCGGGCTTAGGGTCAAAAAGCACAGCAAAGCGCTTGACTTTTTTCCACCACATCACTGCTGTCAAGTGGCTGCACCAAAGCTTGCGGGAAGAACAGCCCATTGCTCAAAAAGCCTCCAACAAGTCCGGGTCGCACGGGGCTGAGCCAGTTTGATGCATTCAGCTTGAGAAAGGCCAGGCGAAAGACATCCTGACAAGGCTGCTTGATATGTTCTGCAACGCCTTTGGAAAGGAACGCGTGCCGAGGTTTCTCCTCACTTTTGACACCTCTCCATCAGACATGAACCAAGCATACATGCCAATACATGCTCCTGTGACGCGCCGGTCCTTGTACCCGTGGAGGACGCGAGTGAAAAAGTCCCGTGATGCCAGGTAGTTAGCCAAGCAAATGGGCTTCCAGTGCCTTTCCTGCAAGCGAAGAAGCCGCAGTTGCTCCCGAAACTCTGTGATACGAAGATGAAGTTCTTCGTCCGAAACGTCTTGGAGCTCTAAGTGTTGGCGCAGACAGTACGCAAGGTGCATGGAGCGGATGCACGGATGAAGCAGCGGAACAGTCCCGATCGATCAGGAAGTGGCCGGTCTCGTGCTCCTGCGCATACTGCCTCAGAAGGCGGCGAAGCAACGACCATGGCAGAGTCTGCACTGCAGCCTGGCCGCATGTCCGAGGCGTTGTGCTTCAATTGCAGCAGCCTAAGATGAAGATCGGCAGAACTAAAGGGGAAACGTGTCATCGACCATAGCCATACCGCAGGCCTCGCTTGGACCCAGAAGCAGCAAATCTCAGTGCTGGATCATCATGGTTACACCACAGTCCGAACCTGTCGCAAGCAAGGGCGCTTCAAAGCCACATGACCCGGCCACGAGCTTTCTCCCCACAGTGGGCAGTCGTAGGACCAGTGGTCCTGCAAGAAAGGGATCTGCTGAGACTCTGAGAACAATCATCCGCCTCCCCCGGTACGAAGCATTGCAATCGCTGTCTATGCAGGGAGCCACCTAGACGGCATGTACTTGATGTACAAGAGTGTTCAATCTGTTCAATTTCGTTGCAATCGCTTGCAAGTAGGCGAGGTCTTGCATCCCAGATGTGACACGACATGCTGGCCGCATGTAACCAGACCCTTCTCGGGTGTGCATGTGGGCTGAGCCGCGAAGTGCCCACTGTCTTTAAACCCAGCAATCTCCGAGCACGCATCTGCTATGCCAACTTGCAACTGCGGCGCAACAGCGGAACCCTCGTGTTTGTGTTGTCAGATAGTATCTTGCATCCAGGGCAGCCGCGAAATCAGATATACGTTTCCGTAACCCGTGGAGCAAAGACTGAGCTAGTGAGGCAGCAAAGGCCAAAGGAAGCCAGATCAAGTAGAGTGCAGCCAAGCTTCCGGCCAAAACAGCGCACCGGTACCTCGCGGCTTCGACGTGGTTTCCACGGGTTTTTCTGCGCCGCGAGCCGCAGCAATGTGCTTTCGCTGGGTATCGCCGAGGTGCTCTGATATTGAGGTGAATCGAAGAGCTCCTCTGGTCTGTACAGCAGCGTGATGTCGGTATCAAGCCACAAAATTTCCCGGAAGGAGGATGCCATAATGGACCTTGGAGTCTTCGAGGCTTGCTTTCAAGCCTGCCTTGTGCTGCAAGCGTCTGTTTTGACGGAGCAGGAGGAACACTGCACTTCTTGAGTGGGAAACTTGGACAAGTTAGTGGCTGAGTTCATAAGCCCCCAAAAGTGTACACTTTTGGTTTTGTAGTGGGTAGTATTATCCAAAAAGGTGTAAAAAGTGTTTCCACCCCGCTACTAAGACAACTTGTAGTGCAAACTGGCGGCGGCAGAACGGTCTCAAACTGGCGGTAAACCCCCGGTACCTGCTTCAAGTTCAAGTGTTGCCCATCACAAAGACAGACGAGCGAGCGAGAGGGCGAAAGCTAGCTAGCGAAGGGACGGAGCCCAAACCAAAGCTCTCAGAGTAACAAGCGACATACGAGTACCTGCCTGAAGCTGGCGACATTCCGCACCACGCGAGGCCAAGGCTTCGCAGTGAGCAGGTTCTAGTTCGAAGGCATGCCAGAACCTGGATTGAGACCGAGGTCTTCCGACGACGAAGCGTCTCCAAGTCGGAGATTGTGCTCGAATTTTTCCCTCCTACCTAGCAAGGACGAAGCCCGCATTGCAAGGAATCTTGGTTGGACAGTCGAAAACAGCTAAGCTTTCCTAGCCAATTATGTGCTCCGCGGTGTAGAGTACATTGATGACTCTCCACTCAGAGCAAGCAGTCCGCTCTTCTTCTGTTTTACAACAGAGCCAAAGCTGAAGTCAGTTTTGCACAAAGGCCTATGGCCACGTCCTCTCGTTTGTTACTTCTCTGGTCACGCACCCACTAGCTTTTAAACGTACATTTGCCGCACACAGCCCCGATGCTGCTTGACATCTGCCTGACACTCCAGCATCAACAACTTCTGACCGAACAAGACCGCTTGCAATACAGAGCCATTTGCGAGCGGCAAGCTCCACGGGCATGCCAGACTTAAGCTCCGTGCGGAGCACCTCCAAGTTTGCCAAGGCCTCACCGTGGCGGCCGAGAACTGGCAACGACGACTACACAAATGTGCCCAAGCACAACGACCGTCAGCGGCACCTGCTAATCAAGCATTCCAACACATCCAACACCACCCCAGCCTGTAGCACGTGCATGGGACCTCCGCTCATGACAATCCCTCTGCCTTCGAATGAACCTGGACAGGGCAGGCAAGATGGCGAAGGCTCCCTTCCAACGGCCAACAAATTCCAGCCCGTTCTCAGGCCCCAGTCCGGACGAATCTCTCGACACTCTTGCCCCCACAAAGTCTGATAGCTTGTGCATCAGCGCCTGGCTTCGGTGCGGGAGCCTTTTGCAGCTCCTTTCGACACGACACTGGAAAGCCCGTCGCCGACTGCTTGTGTGCCCCGTGGCTTTCAAGCTCGGCTTAGAGATCGGCACGGTGATCTAGGAACATCGCAGACAGACTTCGGGACACAGCAGCACGTCCAGCCTGCAAGAAGCTCCGGAGGGCTTCAGCCTCTGCCGGCAAATAGTGCAAGCACCTTAGTTGTCAACAGAACGTGGAGGCTAGGTTCTGCTTGTCGAACCACGACTAACTTCAAGGCAGGCGACTGGTCACCTTTCAATTTATGACCTTGGTTGCAAGAGAACACCAAGCCCAGAGACAGGAGCACACATCCCGCACAGACTCGATGTCCAGTATCGCTGTTCAACATCACGCCTCGATGCCTTAGTGAGTCTGCCTGATTGCGTGCCGGGTCGCTGCAAACTGTGGCAGCGTCTGCTTCACTGCTTGTTTCTCCTTCGCCGGCATGGCCAAGGGCAAGGAGACAGAGCCTGCCGGAGACTGTGAAACTGCTGTTAATGCAGGAGCAGCTCACCACAGTACTTCTGTCGCCAAGGCCAAGGCCCCACAGGCAAAGTTCGAAGCCGACCGCTGGAGCTTCTCGGCATCAGCCACGAGATCAGAAGCACCAGGAGCTACCATGAGCTCCAGGCAGAGCTGAGTGGCTCGCATGCCCATGGCAGGACATGCCGGCTGCCAATGTACGAATCGAGCCAGGTCTGTGGCACACTGCTGCTAGCGGGAGGCAAGTTGTTGCAGGTACCTTCGTGAGCTTCTGGCAAACAGCTTCTTTGGATTTCGGGTGTTGCCCAGACCAAAACGGGGGGATGCTTGGAAGTGCTTAAAGTAGCCCAGTGATCGAAGGCTCGTGTTGCCGGACGGCGCAAATCTTTTTCGATCTTCGTCCGGGATGACAGCCGCCATCGGAGAAGTGCTGATCTCACCCGTGTGCTTCTTCGGTGAAACACGGGAGGTCTCTTGGAGCGTGCACTGAGAAAAGCTTGAGCTCACGGGTCTGCGATGCGTCGAGCAAGACGCAGGAGCCCGCCGAGCAGTTACCGTAGTCGTTCTGTTGTCCTCCTCGAGTCGCCGTCTCGTGCCAGGCGACATCCAGCGCATCCTGCGGACGAAAGTCCGCTCCTTCCAAGCCGGCAGATCACCGCCCATCTTCCACTGTCTTCCACGTCGCGCGGTTGATCACCGCTGGATCCAAGCGGCGAAGCCGTTGTGCTAGGAGCCGCTGGGGCTCTAGTCGAGCCGCATCAACCACCGTCCTTGTGTTTGGAACACGAGGATTCCGGCATCCTTCAGTGAGGTCTTGGACCACAGCAGCGATCCTCTGTAAATTTGGAATCAAAACAAATGTCGCCTCAGGTGCTGGAGCGTCGGCTGATTCATTGCCCATTCAACAAGTCTTAGATGCCTAAATGGAGTTGGCGTGAATAGACGATGCCGTGTTGAGACGAGGGGCGCAGTATGCTGCCTATATCTGGCTCGCAGCAGTTTCGGCCTTGGCCACGAGTTCACGAATAATCGAATCTCCTCTGCAAAGCTCATTGAACTCTGAGCCGTGCACACGATGTGTACCTAAGAGCATGAAAGAAGCGCGTGGAGCTTTTCTGGAGCGTATGTAGCAAGCTGGAAAGGCTTCTCTTGTCTCTCATCCTCTCTTTCTGCGCTCCCTGAGAGCCTCTCGCACCGCACCGGCAATGAACAGCGCTATAGAAAGCTATCCTTGCCTCCTACTTCGCACGGACGAGCCTGCACAGGCTATAGACCTGAGCCCTGTCTGCATGTAATGAAGACTACAGCAATCTCTTTGAGGCAGGCGTCCCTTCCATGGTCATACTCGGTCTTACGAACGTACCATCAGGAAGCTGCTCTGGCCAGGCGTTTCCTGGATGTGGATTTGAAGCTCAGCCCAGGATGCATTGCCGTTTGAGTATCACAGGGGCATACATGTTTTAAGGAAGGGCAGATGGTCCTACGAGGCAAGGGGTCCTGTGGAGCTTAGCGAAAGTTGTGACGAACCTTTTAATCAGCATTATTGCTGTCAGACACATTCGTCAGTGACGGTGGGCTTCGAGCATCTGTCACAAAGCAGGCACCCCACAGTGCTGCCGAAGCACGAATACTCCAACAGTTCGTGTCCAGTGGAATACATCCTGAAGCATGGCGTCAGGATGCGACACGGTTCTCGGGTTCAACGGCAATGCCGCAGCTACAACAGCCGAAGGAGGCAATATCTCTGCCAGGAAGCTTTGGATGGATGCAGGGAATTTTGCCACCTGCGCTCGCAATAGCACACAGGGACCAGGCATCTGGAACTGTGCGACACGTCCATCCGAGCTGGCAGCTCCAAGCATAAAGCGATCACGCGAAACACTTGTTCACATACCCTTGCCTGCCTGCTCTGGCTTCAAGGAGAAGACTCCAGGATATTGCCGCCGGCCGCTTTCCCCAGCAAAGATCTGCAGATGCTGTAGCCTTGGATACCCTGCCATGATCAAAACCGAACTTATATGGCCCGCTTGTGAGCTGCAAAAGCCTACACTACACTCCATGATGCGATGAAGAAGCTCCAAAGGCCACAGTGCTTTTCCTTTGGATCCCAGGCAATATTCCTAAGCGCCGTTGGCTGTCCCTCTATTCTTCACAGCCAGGACATGTCGCGACTCTCTCTCTCTCTTCTTCTTCTCTCTGTCCGTTTCTTTGAAACATGTTTCGTTCACCGTTCACCTTTATTGGGAGTGTTAGGATTAACACGAGGCCTTCACACATGGGTCCGGACATTGCCCCAGGAAAGCCATCACCAATGGCCGTCTAATTGTCTATCTGTCCGTCTGTCAGTTTGTCTCTCTGTCTATCTATGCATCGATCAGCGCTGAGCATCGACAGAAGGCAGGAGCTTGCTGACAACGTCTTTGGCCGTTGCCGCCTGCTCCTTGACAAATGATGAACTTGGCGGTGCGTGCATCACGCTTAACCCATGTCTTCTACTTCCATCCGGCCAGATATGAAGTCTAGTTCGAAGCTCCAGCACCAAAAAAACCCGAGCCACCCGGCAACAAGCAACACGTCATTTCAGGTTTTCGGGGCGGCTAGGCTCCGGCAGAAGCTGTGAGCAGAGGACGGCCAGGGCAGTGTACCCGATTGGGCAGGTCTCCCAGTCGAACGGCTGCAGGACCGGCTGGCAGGTACCCTCGGTCACGAGAGGCAAATCTTTTTCAGTCCTGGTCAAACTCGTGCACTTCCCATGCTCCGGATACGCGCGCCTTATCAAGCAATCGCCGCGTCTTGGGATCCCCAGCCTGCTGCCAAACCTGACTCAGTCGCCGTTGCCGATGCACAAGATGAAAGTGAATCGTTTCGATGGCCGAGCGCCCCGCAGTGAGGATGTGCAGAATCATGTTGTCATCATAGTCGCATCCTGCCGGATTGACATTGATGGCTGTGTATGGTTCAGCTATCGTGAGCCAAGACACGGCAACTCTCCACCAAGGTTTTGAATGTCGAGGTAACCTTGGCGGTACCGAGGCTCACTCGGAGACGGGATCTACACTAGGTCCTCGAGATTCAATCAAGCAATGCAGCTACGGATGGTATGTGCAGGTGTGCTCTGTTGGGACAAACGTGGACCATGTGACACATGCGATCACACGACCTCGCAAGTGCTGCTCCAAACCGCGTTCTACCTGTAGGTTGCCCCACGATTGCTGATATCGGCGTTCGTTGCCTCATGACTGGGAGCGGTGCTTTGCTGCTGCGCTTCACTTCCAACTTGGCCTGCGATTCAGGAGACCTCCCAGAGACATGCAAGGAAACACCTCTCTTTCTGCATGACTGCAGGTCCAGCTAGGCACATGGCAAGAAAGGGAGAAGCCGGTCTCGTGCAATGTTGTATGCCTCAAAGGGCTCAGGAGACAAACTCTGTTCCCGCAAAACGAAACTATCACCGAGATCACTTCAGCCGAAGTGCAGCATCCCACACCTGTCCGGCCCGACTGATTCTTTCGGCCTGAGATTTCTGAGCATGACTTGCAAGTCTAGGAACAGTGCATGCAAGCCGGAAGCCGGAAAGAGAACCTCACGAGTCTCGCCTTTTGTCAGAAGGCTTCAATACTTGAAGCATGGTGAATTCCCACCAGCATGGCCCTTGCACGCTAATACAGCTTGACGCTTTGCTCATTCAAGCCGGTAGTTTTCTGAAACCCCCATCATGATAGCGTGGCTCGCCGTTGAAGGCGGGGCACTAGTTGGAGGTCCGTCTCACCAACCTGCCACAAGGTCCTGTCCGCCTCCTTCAGCACGTCAAAAGGCGTCAGCTGATAGGAGATACACCTTCCCATCCTGACTTCAAGTTTCAAATCATGTACGAGCTTCTTCCTGCTTTGCTCATCTCGTAGGACGCCATCAAAACCGAGCAAAAAACAGTTGGATGCCGAAGAGGAGCGGTGTGTCAAAGGTCAGAATATCCATCCAAATGTTGCCGGGGACTTTCCTTTTCTGCACGCTTGGCTGATGATCTCACGCAACGGGTTTGAGGAGTTGAGAGGCTGCATGGCTTTTGCATGGGTTCGCGGCGGAGCCCAGAGGGAAAAACTCTCACATTGACGATGACAGGAGTACTACCGGTACAGTATCGGGACGGATCTCTGGTTCAGCGCAGTGTGGCAGTGGGTCACGCCACCCGTTCCGCTGGCAAGCGAGAAGCGAGGAGCTACAAGTATCTCTGTTCTGCACCATCGTGCACGGCTCAAGCAGGCAACGGGCGGAGGCGCTCTATGCCGAGCCAACTGCAGCAAAGGGTCTTCTGATGAATGTACAAGGGAATATGCCGACCATGCGGGCCTGTTCCGAAAAGATCTCCAGCCGGCCAAAACCTGGGGATGGCCACGAAAGCAACGGAAAACCATTTCTTGCTCCGAAAATCAGAGTTTGCTTTCTCTCCTGACAGGCGGCTGCACCAAAGCTGCCGGGAAGAAAAGCCCGTTGTGCAAGAAACCTCCAACAAGTCCGGGACGTACCGGGCTCAGCCAGTTTGATGCATTCAGCTTTAGAAAGGCCAAACGGAAGACATCCTGACAGGAGGCCAGTTCTCGTAGCTGACGAGGCGATTCCAAAAGCTTGACGCTGCGACGCTTCGGTCCTTGTATCCATGGAGCACGCGCGTGAAGAAATCCCGTGATGCCATGTAGTTGGCCAAGCAAATGGGCTTCCAGTGTCTCTCCTGCAACGTCCACTGCTCCGAAGCTTTTCCGAGTGTTTGGACATATCTTGCGATGTGCACATGTGCCTAGTCTGACTCGGAGTGTCGAAGAGAAGGCCATTGCAGTTTAAGCACACCCACATCCTCAACAACATGAGGCAGCAGGAAGGGTCCCGATCGATCAGGAAGTGCCCAGTCTCGTGCTCTTGGGCATACTGCCTCAGAATGTGTCTTACTGCAGGTCGTGTTTGATGCGACTGACAGCTCAAACGTGCTCTGTCATTGTAACACCTTACCTCTGTCGACCATAACCGGTAACCCGCAACCCAAAGTGCCGAAGACTGCTCAAGCGTGCTGCAGCCTGGCCGCATGTCCGAGGCGTTGTGCTTCAATTGCAGCAGCCTAAGATGAGAACCAGCAGAAGTGATGGGGAAAGATCGTATCGACTCGGGCCTCGCATGCAGAGGCGCTCCGAGATTAGAAACAGGACTGATAGCCGATGATAGCCGTGGAGGCCTCTGCCGGTGCCTGCAAGATCCTGCAAGCCCAAAGCCCGGGCCCCCAAAACTGCACTGAGCAAGGGAACTTCAGGGCCACATGACCCGGCCACGAACTTTGCCCCCACGGCCGGCAATCGAAGGACCAGTGGTCCTGCGAAGCATCACAGCATCTGACTTAATCTCCGGGGCACACGTGAGCAACTAGCAGGGCTTGCAGTGCAAAGTGGCTGCGGTGGTATGGTACAATCAGCACTAACTCATTTTGCCTCTGTGCCAGAGACACAACCAGAGTAACTGAAAACCCAGTGGAAGACATGTATAGTTCCCTCATGTTCGTTCTTAACAGGGTCAGTGCGGCCAAGCTTCCGGCCAAAACAGCGCGCCAGTACCTCGAGGTCTCGACAGGTTTTTCTGCACCGAGTGCCGCAGCAATGTGCAAAAAGGGGTGTTGCGGCGTTGCGCTTTTCGCAGTCTTGAACTCGAGTCTGTGTTTGGGTGCTTCAGCTTGCCCGAGTTTGCGAAATGTCGCCTGATGTAGCCGAGGTGCTTTGATATTGAGGTGACTCGAAGAGCTCCTCTGGTCTGTACAGCAGCGTGATGTCGGTATCAAGCCACAAAATTTCCCGGAAAGAGGATGCCATGATGGACCTTGGAGGCTTGCTTGTGAACCTGCCTCGTGCTGCACAGAGAAACACTCCCGAGTGCGAATCGGGCAGGCCTATCACCTGTAGTGCGAACGAGCAGCGGGAGAACGGTCTCAAACTGCCTGTACACCCCCGGTACCTGCTTCAAGGCCCAGCACTGCAGCAGCTGCAGGAATTAAGTAAACAGCAAGAGAGAAAGAGAGGGAGCGAGCAAGCACTTCTCTTCAGCTCCTAGCCTTTCAGAACGCAACTTGCAGTGCTACATGTGGCCAGTGCCTGAAGCTGCCGGCATTTGGCACCGCGCGTGGCTAAAGCTTGGCAGTGGATGGGTTCCAGCTCAAAAGCATGCCAGAACCTGCAACACATCTTCGGCTTTCAGAGGGCGAGCTGCCAGAGCAAGCACTTAAGCGTCAGCACCTCTTAGTGAACATCTCCGAACCGTTAACCTATTCTGAAGCAAGAGAGCAGCTAACATCATATTTACTTCGTCAAGAAACCATTTTTGGATTTGGAGCCGAACCATGACTTGCCGGGTTCTTGCGATGAAGGGTTCGGTGTCAAACCGCCATTCTGCTCGAAGCGCAATCTCTAAGCTGCCCTCCAGGTCCAAGTCTCTGCAACCCCCCGCAACTCCAAGCTCGCACACTGCAACGCTATTTGCAAGCGGCAGGCTCCACGGGCATGGCGGACTTGAGCTCCGTGCGGAGCACCTCCAGGTTCGCCAGGGCCTGAGGGTGGCAAAGACGACTCCACAAATCACAAGACCTTTGCAGCCAATGGGAAATGCCGATGACAAGAACTGGCGAAGGCAAGCAAAGTGCTAAGCGAGTGTTCCACTGAACCCCAGCCTGTAGCACGTGCATGGGACCTCCGCTCATGACAATCCCTCTGCCTTCGAAGGAACCTGGACGGGGCAGGAATCAAGTCTGTTCGTGCACCTCTTGGCCAACAATTCCACATTGTCAAAGGCCATCGACTATTGACAAATCCTCACACATCATGTTGGATCTGGGCTCTCCCCATCTTTTCTTAGAAAATGTGTTAGCTCGTGTACATCACGGCCTGGCTGTGGCACGGGAGCATTCTGCAGCTCCTTTCCAAAGTGCCGGGGACAAAGTCGTGAATGCAAATTTCTTTTGGAGACACTTCGCGGTCTAAAGACAGAGACGCACACACAGATCACGGCGCATCCAGCCTTCAAGAAATTCTTTAGAGCTTCGGCCTCCGTCGGCAAATGCCGAAGACACCTCGCGGCAAAGTATGTGGCAACAGCCCAGTGACCCAGTGCAGGCATACATCCCGCGTTCCCGAATTGGAGGCTAGCGACTCCTCCTGTTTCATGAAGTGGCCTCGGCTGAAGCCGAGGCGAACGTCTGTCTGTAAAAAACTCCCCTTTTGAGGCCAGGCCAAGGCGGCCAAGTCGCTACAAAAGACGTCCTCCTCCTCCTCCGTCTCTGAAAAAACTTCTCCCATGGCCAGGGCCCCCCCAGACAAGGCCCACAGCCTGCCCACAGCGGAGACAGCAAAGCGCAGTCACAGAACAAAAAAGAGAAAACCCGCCGGGACGATTTATCAGCCGGGCTTGTTGCAGCTGCACATCCGGGTTGAGGCCAAATGCAGCAAAGCAACAACGGGATCACAGCCTTCTTTGAGGAATGGATATGGCGAGCCAGCGGACAGCTGCTCCAAGCCATTGCGAACTCCCAAGACTTTGCGAGCCTGTGACATCTACCAAAAAACCGACGCAGGTTTGTGTAGTTGAGCTGTGTGTGATGTCCCATCTCTAAAGAGCACCCGGCAGGAACCCTGACACATGCGTTCGCATCAATCTGAAATCCACTTTGGCGAACTTCGATATTTCCTTGGGGCATCAACTCCCCGAAGACATTGACATGTTAGAAGCCAAACTCCCAATTGAACATGGGCTCCAGTCCCAAAGCATGTCTGCTGTTGATCTTTCGACTTTGGTGCTTGACTCAGGCACAGCGCGTGACCAAACAGCTTGGCCCAAACTGGTTTCAACGTTGAAGTCTCATAACGACGCCAGGTACCCGTCGCCCGATAGGTTTGTGGAGATGCTACTAACTTGACTGAGACACTTGCTTGGGTCGCATGTGCATTGCATTGTCAAAGGCTCAGCGAGAGAGAAAAGGTAAACAGGTGATTCAACTTCCCAAGTCCCCACCAAGCAAAAATGGGTCTTCGGCATGAGGTATATAGGCCGAAGACTGATCGCGCTGACCCCAAGGAGTCAGCATGAAATATCCCAAAGTGAAACATGGAGCTGCTCAGCCAAATATATCGGTTGAAGCGAGGCGTTCTTCAAAGATCTGCTTATTCGTCATTTAGCGGGAGTTCGCAAAGCGCTTCAGCCTAGCCTAAGCGTGCCCTCGATACACAAAGTACGTAAGAAGTCGAAATAAACGCGGAAGAATCACTGCGATTACGTCGGCGAGAATCTGCTTTTGGTGGGAATGGAGATGTCCTTGGGGCCTTCGAGCATCTCGTACACCCTGCTCTCTGCCTTCTTTTCGCTTACTCTTGGCTCGTCTCTCCGGCCAAGCAGTGCCAGCTTCTCAGAGACCAGGTCCAGAGCCGCCTACACATCGAGAAGCAAGTGCTCCATAGAGGGGAACAGGCAGCACCAACTCCAAGATCATACAAGAAAGTCAGGGCCGTCCTTGGCAACCTGAACGTGGTGCTCCAACATGCTTTTGCTGATCTGCTGCAGGTTCATCGTGACTGCTTGCACGATGAGGCCCGGCAGCGTTGCAAAGCCTCGTGCAAGTCTCTATGTGTGTGTGTTCCGGCTAGCCATTGGCACAAGAATAATCCACAAGTCCCCAAGACTTCCCCTGCAGGCCGACAGCCCTTCCGTAAGTCCTCGGCCCAAGCCTGAGCAAAAGCCAAGCTGCGCTGGATGTGCGGCAGCTGCTCCCAATCCGCAAACTGTACCCAGTAGCCAATAACGTCTGGCGTCGCATTGAACGAGTTCCACCAAGGTGGAAATGGATGCCTCGCGGCTCGGGAATGGGTTGAGAAACTCAAAGCATGCGGTGAGAATTTTGGAATTGGGATGCATTGTGCGAGGCCATCTGCAAGTTGCAAAGATTAGAGGTCTCCCAGTCTTCTCACACAAACGCACCTTGGTGATGAGCTTCCGTCTGCGTCAAGCCCAACCTTCGTAGACTTGTAGCATGTGCTTATGTCCAGCACCACGAAACAAACACATCTTCTCGCAATTGAACGGGCGGGGCTCGAAGAAAACAGCGTTGCAGTCTGGCGACAACCCAGTTCTGATTAGGAACTTGGACATCAACTTGGGTGCCAGGCGGCTGCGCTTGCCCCGTAGGAAGCGTACCCCCAGTTCGACATCCGTTGTGCTCGGAACAGGCTGGCAGAATCAGGCATGAGCAACGGGATCGCCATTCCTTGGCTGAAGAAGACATGATGGCAACTGGGCACCGTGTGCTGCGCAGTTACTTTTGCTCGGTAAGCAGTGGTTAGTAGCAGTCGTAGTCGTCGTGGTGGTGGTAGAGGTAGTGGCGGTGGTAGTAGTAGGAGGACACTGGCCGAAAGGTCGTGGTCTCGTTTCGTCTTATGACGCATGTTGGGCGGATGATGGCCGAGTAGCGGTAGGCCTCGTGGAAAGTGCGCTGGTGCAAGTCATTTGGCCAAAGGATGGCAGCATCAAAGCCTTAGTGGAAGTGTGGCACCATGAATGATGAACAGTACCAGCTGCCGCGCCGAACATGAGCACTGCACTGGACACTGGTAAGCCTGGACGGGAGGGTCAAGTTGGCGTGGGAGGGCAGTACGAGTGTTGTCACTTCGGCACTCGATGCTTTGCAGTACACGAAACTGAAGTACGCGGTGGCCGACATCAATCACTCTTACTTAAGTAAGCCAAATGCAACCTGCCGGCTGGCCAACTGCTGCAGGGAAAGCCATTGCTCGTCAAACTGATTGTCCTTGCCGAGGAAGACCACCTTGCAACCCCTCAAATTATTGAACCCTTCCGGAGAATGCGCAAAGTGCGTCACAAACAGATCGGCTGATCCTGGACCGGTCGAGCCTCCAAGGGGTATCTGGGGAAATTGATGGACACAATCTCTCGCAGCAGCGACCGTAAGAGCTCGCCCCTCAGGGACACGAAGAAGCGGGACCTGCAGACTCAGTGTGAGTGGGGCGTGTTTGTGGGAAACATGTGGCAGCCGCACGTACGATGTGGCAAGGCATCCAGATCAGCCTACACAGGAATTCTTGCGCGACCATACATCGCCGGCAACTACGAGCTGCAAGGAAGACGAGTTCGGCAGTTTCTCAAACGAGCATTGAAGCGGTTTTGCAACAGCTCTCTCCTTGTAGGAGCGTTTAGATGCAGACGAAGCCTCTACGGAGGTGTGTTGTGCGGGGTGTCAAACGATCGACAGGCAGTCCGATGGTGTGAGTGGTGCATCGGCAAATCGACCCTGTGCAAACGCGGTGCTTCAACAGGACTAAGTGCTGTGAAGAGAAACTCATGCTCTCCTTATCATGCACAGGCTCCACGCTGCCGTGAATGCTGAGCTGGGGATAGCTGGGGTAATGATGGGATCAACAAGCACCTCCACAGCCATCCATTTTGTTTCTGAAGCAATGGATTTGTTAGATGCCAGCACACATGACGATTGCACGTGTACGAAACGAAAGCACTTGTGCAATTTCCTGTGAAGAAGAATTCTGTGGGCATCACACTGCCCTGCATCCCTTTTTGCACCAATGGGTCCGGAAATATCCGGAACATATGAATCACATGACGACGTGTGACGACCATGATGCGCCTTAGGACCACTGCGCGACGCGTCGACCCAGGCTGGCCGCCCTGCCAACTCCCTGCCGTCGTGTAGAGCCCGAGCGGTGGCACCCAAGGAACTTCCACTCTCACCTGCCCGATGTGGTGTGCTATCACGACATGCGAGGCTCGCTTCAAGTTGGCAGTGCTGAGGATAAACAGCATCAGTCAGGCTTTGCAATCCGGTCTCATCTTCTGACATTGTCAAATGTCAACCATCTTCACAATTTCTATTTGCAGCACACCCATTTGGCAAGTCCACTTGACGGCTCAGCCTGGTGTCGGACCTGCTCGGCCAGAAAGCGCCCCTCTGCCATAAAGACCAGATTCCGATTGCTGAGAAGGAGGTTGCGGGCGAGCTGCAAATACCTCCAAACAAGACGGTTGCCTGTGAGTCACGACGGACACGTTCAGCCTTCTAGAGCCCTTATCGAAACAAATTCAGTCTTCGTAGCACCGCCGAATACAAAAGACCCCAGCTTGCCTCTGTGCCAAATGCGAAGTGCCAAAGTGCCGCAGATTGGTGTACCATGCGTCGCGATCGCAATTTTTACAATGCAGACCATAGAGCAGCGTTGACGATGCATGTACGAACATCGGCTTCGGAAGGACCTGCAGGCACGAATTCAAGATCTGACCGGCGCACAAGACCGTCGCGTGCGCAAATGCAGAAACACCTGCCTGATCCTGCATGCAATATGTTCAATCACTTTCTGACTCTTTCCCGTAAACGCGTCAGTGGCGTTACTGTTGGCACTTCTCGCCTCTGCCATGAAGAGGCACAGCAGCGTTGGGTGCGAGCAAACCACAAGGTCTGCCAGCTGTAGCCTGCCGGTGCGAGTCAAATGAACTACGTATGCAGTGGATCGTCTGGTGGCACATCCTGAGTGACGGTATGTAGAGCTTCACGCGGCTTCTTCTGCTCGCCGTTCCACCTTCCTTCATCTACCCTCCGGAGTGAAATCTGGCCTGCCTCGAGTCCCTTGCGCTTGCCTCTGCCAGGGAATGGCGCCTGACCCGCAAAACGCCACACTCTTTCCACTTTTGCAGCCAGCTCGTCCCTAGATACTCCATCTGGGATCTAAACCGTGGGTTGAACGGAACGGATGTGCTTGCAATACCTGCACCTTCAAGCAGCACGACCTGCTGAAAGCAGCTACTTGTAGGAGACATGGTGAAGTACAGGAACAAACCCTCCACCCTAGTCCCCGAGCACAGACAATTTCCGGCAACTGAATCTTGCGGCTGAATTTCTCCCTGCCTCTCGTCCAAATCCCAAGGAAGCTCGTCAAGCGACTCTGGATGGATGATTCCATCCAGCCACTCTGCGACCGGGTCGGCGACATCCTTAGGCCACAAGACAACCTTAATAGTCTCGTAGCGTACAGTTATCATGCGCAACCGATCAGTTTGGCCATCTTCGAAGCAACGTGCTCCAACTCATGTTGCAGACTTGCGACCTCTTGTGGACCACAACCCGACCCGAGCAACTCACAGCGCTGTCGGCACTGATGTCCTGATGACTAACTAGAGAAGGGTGTCCCCACAGCATCGTGGCAGTCCGCACCGAGACACCTAACAGCATCTCATCCGTTCATTGTCATCCACACGTCGTTCATCCCTCCATCCATCCATTGATCCCCCTGTCCATCCCTTCATCACCCACACATCCATCCACACTCACCCGCCCACCCGCCACCCAGCCTTCCGGCCGTCCATTCGTCTGTTTGTGCGTCCGTCCATCCGTGCATTCATCCGTGCATCCATCCATCCATCCATCCCTCCATCCACGCATCCATGAGTTCATTTATCCACAACCGCCCGCCATTTATGCAACCCCATGCAACCCCCGTAAATCCTTCTAGAAAGCCTACTACAAAACGCCCCTTTAAACTTCTCCTGGAGCCCTTCCATGAGCGCGCCTGCAAAGCCTCCTACACACCTCTCATCACCTCGCCCTAAACTCTTCTATAACCTCTTTCCTGACCAGTGTAGATCCCCAAACCGTGATACCAGCCACGACCACCGGGCCACCACGACGACCATTGATCAGGACCACCACGACGACCATCACCGAGCACAACACCGAACGACAGGACACGGCCGAAATGTTTCTCCACAAGTGCTGCTGGCCGGATTCAGGAGCACGGCCAACATGCTTCTAAGGACCACGGCCACGGCCAGGATGCCTTCCCCCAAGTACCGGCGATTCAGAATGTACACGATGCTTTCCGCCAACATCTCGTCTTCAATCTAAGAGACAACCTCACATTCTAAGAGACAACCTCACATCAACATCATCACATCATCGCATCATGCCATCCGTACAACCTCCACGCACACAACAAAGTTCGCCATGCTTCTGTAAATAACTGAGATCGTGCTTTTCAAGACGAACAGTTGCCGGCCTTGCCCGGTGTGCTTTGGGCAGAAGCGACCAAGAAAATCTCCTTGGGAAGGTTCCGCGCATCTCCGCTTCATGCGAGAGATTCCCCAATCAAACTAACAGAGAAATGCCGACGTTGCAGTCCAGATGACGTTGGATCTGGAGGTCCCCCAGAACAAGTTCGAGGCTTCTCTGGACCATCAAAACGGCATCAAAGGTGGCCGTTAGATGGTCCCCTGCCAGTGCTGAAGTAATGACAGTCGGTAGGTGCTAAAGCTAAAACAAAGGAGCCTATTCCGCATAGCCGCACTGGCGCAGCGTTTGGGAAGAGGAGCTGCAAAGAGTCGGGGTGACTCGACTCCCAGCGACCTGCCAAGGGCGCGCGACAGCACATGTCATAGTACAGGATGCTTGCTTGACCGGTTCAACATGGTTCTGCCGAAGCCTGGCATGCTGACAGGTTCGCGCCGATGAGTGAGGCTCCTCGGCAGAGGCACAGTGAAACCCCTTCATGTAATCTGCTGGTTCTGCTTACTGCGACAGCTTAGAAGTCGCAGAGGGGAGCGAGCGTGCTTGAACATCCAGGTCAAAAGCTTTTCATGGCTTGCATTCCACGTCGATCCGCAAATGTCTGACACGGGGTGCAAAGGACTTGATACGCTGAATGCCGGTGACTGCAGCTTGCCATGCTGGCCCTCGTATTCTCTGCAACAGCTCTTGCACGTCTTTGGCCACCAGCTCAGCCGTGGCCGCCTCTGCGTCCACGGCAGCATTCCAGTGCACGTGCAGCATGCCACCAGTGGGGTGCAGGGCTGTCACGGCAACGGGAAAGCCGTCACGGCTGTACGGAATCAAACCCAGAATGACACGGTGACATGTGTCGCGAGTCTCGTCGATGACCTCTGGTCGACGGTTGTCTCCTGGTAGGACCTTGCAGCGAGCAGAGACCAGGTCGCCAAGCAAGTGCAAACCCTCTCGAAGACCAGCAAGGGCATCTGGATTCCACTCGCATGCAACAACCTTTGCCGCCCCGGCCACAAGAAGCGGCAGAGTCCAGAAACCAATTCCAGCATACATGTCGAGAATCGTCTGGCCCTCGACGGGCCAAGATGCCACGCGATCCTTTTCTGCAGCATTCCCTTCTGAAAACATACACTTCGTGATGTCAAACGAATACCGCACGCCTTTCGGTCCGGGTACCACTACCCAGCCACTCCCAGCGCCAGCCAATACCTGCACGTTACCTCCCCGAACTACGTCATCCACCCGAATTTCTTGTTGCCGACACAGAAGCCGAGCATTCACAGCTTTCCTGATGCACTCCCACAAACCGCCGCTGACTGCCTGCGTCTTTTGCTCAAAAGCCTCCCATTCTGCACCTGCAAAACTGCCACGTGGGAGGAGCGCTACATCCCCGCGCCATTGCAGTGCAGGTAGGCTCTGAGCATCCTTGAGCAAAGCCTCAAAAGATGCAGTGTCCCCATGTAGGTCTGGGCCCATCTCGAAAAGCTCCTGGAGAGCTTCCGCTATCTTTGCCTGCTCTGTGGCTACGGGGACCGCGCTCGCGCTTCCAGAAGGCTTGGTCTTTCTTGGGAGAACAGAGCTCTGTATAATGCGCAGCTCTCCACGGCGGGACCTCCATAGCTCGTTCAAGTTGGCAGCGACTGTTGGAGGGCGCTTCTTCTTCGGCAAAGATCCAGGGGGCTGGGAGACAGTTTCGGGCAATGCTTCCGCCACCTCCTCCTGAGCCGGAGGAATGTCGTCCGACACAGTGGTCCCGCCACGGCTGACATCCACTTCTTCTGCTTCGGCCTCAGAGATGGCCCGCAACTCTTCGACGGCCTCCTCAGTCAACGGAATTGCAACCGAGGGAGTGGCTTCCGCGTCCGGATCTTCATAGCTCTGCATCTTGCGAGAATCGTCCAACCAGCCTCGGGCTTCTAATGCCAACTTAACGGAGCGGGCGCATTCCTGTGGACAAACAAAGATCCATGGCTGTCCGTCCTCCGCGCCTTCGATGCCTCGGTCGTTCGCCACCACAGCCTCCCGCAAGTTCCTCCACAAGCGTGCCACCCGAGCGGCATTCTCGTCTAAGCGACTGTTGGCGATTGCTACTAAGGTCTCGAAGTAGCCGCCGTCCACAAGAAGACGTCCGTTCATCGCTAGTGGCACTTCCAGGCGGGTGGCCACAGTGCGGATTTGCACCATGACGCGCTTCCTTCCCAAGCTCACTCCACTCTCGCGGAACCCTGCATCTCTCGCAACCCCAAGGATCTGTTGAGCTGTAGCCGCATCAGCACACTCTGCATGAAGAACAAACGGTTCCAACAGCAGCGAGGTAAGCGTGCCCACGCCATTTGCGGCATTTTGTCGCGTGTCGAGGGCTTCACGAAGCTCCTGCCATGATCTCGTACTGTCCGATACGGTCTCATGGCTGGACAAGAGCCATTCTCCACCCTTCGAGTTGGATGCATCTGCAGAGCCATGGAAAATAGCGATGCGGCCACTGCAAGAGGATGTTGTCACAAGAGCCGGCTGCTGGTTCAGCCAATGGATGAAATCCACGATGGGTGCATCAATAGAACCTTTAGGACTCTTGTCCAACGAAGTGAGGATCTGGCGCTTCCGTGCGCAAAACTCCGCGTGGGTTGCCATGCCAAGTACGGGGCATGGGCCTAGGACCCTGAAAAAACAAACGGATGCTTTGAAAGCAATACTTGGTAATAATATGATGCACTTATATATGCTGCATGGATCCGCAGAACGACCGAGATGAAGGTGTTGGAGCGATTTCCAAGCATGAACCCATGAGATGCGAGAGCTACTGGCAAGTGAGTGAGCCATTTTCCAAACCGAGGGCATGTATCGTTGGGGGTTAATAATCTGATGGAAATTTGGCAACAAGCCTCCAGCTCATGCGGTGCCGTCAAAACAATTAGATCGAAGCGTTCTTGCTCTCAACATCTCTGTAGCCTCAGGTGCCGGCATGGGAAATCGGTGCCGCCGGAATGGCTGGCCCAAGTCCGCCTTCCTGGGGCACAGGAGTTTCGCAGAAGACCCGGGCCCGCTTACCTTGCTGCTTGCAGATAGGGCTCTGGGTTTCCAGATTTATGATGACGTCTTCCAGGGACACCGCCCAGCCCGTGTTCTCAAGGAAGCTAAACTCGACGCCACCTTTGCTGTTGGAGTCGCTGACCAGCGTATAAGCCTGTCCAGGGCATCAGGTACAACCGGATTCCGCCACTCCCACTTCTTACTCTTACATGTGAATTCCAAGTGCACGCCGCGGGGCCGTGTCCATGTCATTGAGGCCGACTATTGGCGCAAAGATGGTCTTACCATGTGCTTCGAACTTCTGCGGCTCCATGTCCAACATCTGCCGAGCTCGGAGGAAAGCTGCCGAAGTAAGGCCGAAGAGGCAAAATCCCTCCAAGTGGCCATCATGAGTGTACCTGTTTCTCACAAGTCACAGCCCTGGCTATCCGCGGTTCCGCTTAAAGCCTCAATCGTGAGGGCGAGGCGCTCATGCCGTAAACGGGCCATGAAGAGAGACCTCCCACGAATCAGGATCTCATCGTTTGTCACGATGTGGTGACTGATGGCAGTCGCCTCCACACGCTTTCGTGAGAGATGGGGTTCAATATGATCCAGCCAAGGGGATTTACACAAAAGCTTTCCGTTGACAGCTTGGCGGTGGCATTGCGGCATCCCATCTCGTCCTTGCCTCTGCCACCATGTCCGGGTCCAGTGGGAAGTTGCTGGCTGCCTGCAGGAGCACCTTAAAGGATTCGGAAGCCATGTGGAGCACCTACACCCGCCAATGCCTACCAGGGCCTACGGCCTACAGCTCGCTTTCTGGATTCGGAGCACCTGCTTTCGGAAGTGATCCCATGGAGCATCGAAGTCTGGGCCTTCACCTTGCGCCACAAAGACGCTGCTGTCAAATTGATGCTCTGATCGAAGTATGTGCATCTGGGGGGCAGTTCAGAAAGCATGGCGTGCGGAGCTCGCGCGCCGCGACCAGCCTCGCAGCAACTCAGACCATCTGATGTCTTCGCGAGGGGCACCACCAAGGGCAAACAAAAGTGGTCTGCACTGTCTGCTGCGGCAGTTGAGCTGAGACACGGGTCGGCCTCTGCAAAGCAGTGGTGAGCATTGGTTTGTGGCGTGGGTGGTGCGAGCAGTTCATCTGTCCTTATCTTCGGATCGAGACATGCAGCGGCAAAAGCTGAACACGGCTTTCATGGCCTGATACGGTGTGTAGCTACCAGCAGTCACCACGCCAATATCAACTTTCAGTGGGCTTCTTGCAAGCCGAAGTTTCGGGCGCTGGACCTCCACCGGCACTATTTCTCCAATCCCGCGATGGATGCGGAGCACCTCGCCACCCCGGACCTTAGACACCGAGGGACCAGATAGTAGATTATAGTATGTTTACTGTATTATACCATGTGAGGGCCAGTCTCCAAACTGTCTACTGACACTGCAAGGGCTGCATGGATGAATACACTTCACGGACAAGCTGGCTGGCAAACATTGAATGGACAAGGGGCTGCGCGAAATGTGGTGTTTCCCCATTCGTAGCCCCTTTCCAGCTGCTCTTGAATCCACTCCTGCGTTCATTTGGCGGACATTGTCATCCTAAATCAGATTTCCAACGCCAACACACGCGAATGTGTGCATGACCGAGGTGTGGCCTTCCGTCGGAGAGTCCACAACATGTTACGACTTCTTTTGCCACCTGCCTAGCTGATTGTCAATGCTGCCTCGAGGGCTGGCTACACCACCACAGATGTGGGAACTGCAATAAACGTCCCGGATCGACGGCCGAGATCAGGAGAGGACACATAAAGGCTTCTCAATCAGAGACATTCGCAGCTGGCTTCCCCCAAAACGCACTGTTTGGAATGAGGGGTGGGTCAACCAAGAGCGAAGTACTTGAGCTAGTCTGCATGTTTCCGTAACATTGCGTTTTCTGTTAGACACGGGGTTTTGTGTTCTGGGCAAGGTTTCGCTTGAGGGAGGGCTTTCCTGCTGGTCAGGGGCTTGCTGTTCGACATGGTCTTCATCCAGGTTTGGAGACGATCAAGTTCTGACTTTGCAATGGTTCGCATGCACTGTCTAAGGCTCTAAGTCTCTCCCTTCTGGGGCGAGGAGTCCTTGGCTTCGAGGCCAGTCATCTGAACGGTATCTTCATCAAAGGGTCGGGCCTCCCAAGCCGGAGATTCCACATGCCTCACCCTGAAGCATGCTGCCTTGCGCTTAAGCAGAAGCACCGGCTGCACGATCTTGTGCTGCTTCTGCTGCAATGTGGACGGTGACGCTCCCTCGCCTCATCTCTTGTTTTTAAACTGCGCAACACCGTATCCCCCCTTTTTGAACTTATAATCCTGTCAGTCCGCAAGCAGGATGTATCCACAATGTCTGACGCCTGCCATGGCCTCACTCCGACCAAGCGGCCAGGTTTCCAGGCAGGCAGAACGGCACCCGGCACATGTAGCAAAAGCGACCAAGCTCGTAGCTGATGGAAAACCTGAGCTGCCCTCCGGAGTTTAAGTTTTGCGTGACTTTTCGGCCGAACATGCCCGTGAATTTTGGCCAGGTGCGTCCTGTTCACCGGCACCCCCATCGTTAAAACCTCGGCTCTGCTTCGAGTGCACAGGAAATCTTGAGCACTGACCGTCATGAAAGCAATTCGTGAACGTGTGAAGAGTGCAGGCAACCTTGAGCAACCTCAACGTAGTCACCCGACATGAGCAGGCGGTTGAGAACCCAGCCGGCGCCTCCATCCAGAAATTCAGGCAACAGCAAATGCTTGCCAATGCTTGCTTAGAAGAACTTGAAGCGTGTCAACTGCTTTGGGAGGGTTGGCAAACCGCTCTTCGGCTCCTGGCCTCCTGGTAGATTAGTGTTGTAGATGGCGACCATTCGGGGACGTTGGGCTTCAAGCCTGTGATCCGAAAGGCACGGAGAGCTGCAGGATGCCCAAGACCCGGGCATGTCTGTCAAACATCCCACGACAAAGCAAAGCGAGTACCAGGAAATAACCCTCCGTCATTCTGTGCCTCACATATACAGGCAGACGTACACGTACACACACACACACACACACAAACACACAAACACACACACACACACACACACACACACACACACACACACACACACACACACACACACACACACGCGCGCACACACACACACGCGCGCACACACGCGCACACGCGCACACACACCCGCACCTCTACATCCTGTACATACGGACCCGAACGAACTGTCTACAAAAACCCTCGCAGTAGTGATCGCTTCGTTTACGCCCACGCTCCCGGCTACCATACTTGCATGGTTCATTATCGTGATTATTGCTAACACGTTGCACACGCCAGTCGTCTGCGAACTCCTGTCTGCATATGGCGAGCACGAAGGCTTGGGAGAAATCGCACGCCGTTCATGCGAGCAGTCCTTGTACCCCATCTCCACATCAGGGTCTAGAAGAACCAACCCCAAATCCTGAACAGGTTCGTCACTTCCGCACTGACAGCTGCCTTTTGATCTATTCGCCAGTAAGCCTGGCCTGGCCTCCACAGGTTGGCATACTGGCTGCAGGTAGCTCGAAGTGCTTCCAGGGATGAGAAAGGCAGTCACTTGCTTCCGATCCCCTTGGCGCATCTCTTGTTGCCAGCGGTGGCTGCGGAGATCCAGGGCGTGCACCGCAACATCGCTTTCTGCAAGCCTGCTCCTCACGGTCAGCAGCCTGTTGCAGGCTGCCCATGTGTCTGTTTTGCAGCATGAGTTCTTGCATGTCCCTGCCTGTCCAAATTCAGCTCGAAAGTCACCAGGCGACGGTCTGAGGCACTGCTCGGTCGCCGCCGCAGTCCGTCAGCAAGCAGAGCCGCGGTGTCTCCAAGTCCAGCGTAAAGGTCCAGCGTGAGTCCTCTAAGAGACTACAAGAGCAGGTTCTTTGCCGAGGGCTTTCTGCACTGTGAGCCTGTGCCCAGCATTGCGGCGCACCAAATGTTGCGTCCGAACATAGTCGTGCGACCAGCACCTGATGCAGTAAAAGCTCGAGTCCAGCACTGTGAAGCGAAGTCTTGCAATCTCGCACACAACTCCACCTGCTACCAGCAACGGTTCTGAAGGGACACACTTCAAGACTGTCACCTTTATCGACCGATGCTGGGATGCTGAAAGGTCTGTTGGCTGGCTCGGATCTACTCAACATCTGGCCAATGTCCAGCTTCGTGTCACTCGCTGAGCACAGATTCAACACCCTGTAGCAGCTGTTATAACAGCTGCGGCGCCGCCGAATTCGGAAGCAACTGGTATCTGCTGACAATGCCTTGCCGCCACATCGTCTTCCTGAAATGATTGGGCTTATGCGACTGAGGGTTGTGCAAAAGACATTTGATTCTGCATCCAATGCGGTCCTCCACCTGGTTTGCTGAACAGATTTCCGACGCACAGGTCTCCAAGGCTTCCTGCCAAGCCTGAACCACAGTTGGATCGCTTGCATCGCTCGCGATGCCCCAGGCGAGACCCAGGAGCACACTGACGCCCATGGCCGGTCATGGCGGGTTCATGCTGGACAAGGCTACGGCTCTGTCTTTCTTTCGCCAGGGCTATGGCGAAGGGGAAGTTCCCCTACGCCGCGCGCTAGCTCTGTCTCTCTCTCTCTCTCTCTCTCTCTCTCTCTCTCTCTCTCTCTCTCTCTCTCTCTCTCTCAAAAAGCCCTCCAAGAAGCCGAGCTATCCGAAACAAGCGGAAACTCCAAATAACTGCGACAAGTGGTGGAACATAGGTCTGAGCATGGCGAGCACGGCTTTGGACTTGAATCCGGTCTTCTTGCCATCTTCTGCCGGTTAGCTCACGCAGTGAAGGCACCATGCAGTTCTTTTCGTTACGTTCTCCAGCGGGCGAGGCTAAGCGACAGGAGGCGTGCATCCCAACGTGCGAGGTGCGAGCAATCTGTACATGCTCGACAAGACCTGCACTTGCAACCGCGTTGCTGAGATGCATTGGGCTACTGTCTCCCCATCTGGCAAGCATCACTACCTGCAGCCTGCATGCACTTTCAGGAGATGTGCAGTGGCAGCAGGCGTGTTCTGGATGTCTGTCTCGGAAGAAAGGCTCAGCTGTCCCGTGTTGTTTGCACATTGCGCCGCCTGCTGCTCTTCGCACTACTCGTGCAAAAGTCCTATCAAGATTGTCCTAAAGCCCAATGTCGAACAGCGAATTTGTGTGCAAGAGAAAGCCCGTCATAGATGGAGGGCTTGGTTGAACCCCCGTCAAGTCCCACACTGTTTCTGGCCGAAGGTTGACTGCCTGGACATCTGAATCCGGAATGCTGAGACACAAACTTTGAAGAAACCTTGGGCCTCTATTCAAGAAATGCCTGTCGCAGAGCGACTCAGGAGTGCGGCAGCAGAACCGAAGCTAAGGCCACGGAGCCCTTTGGTTTGTGGGACCTCGAACTCAAGATTCAAGACGACAGTCCAATACATGACATACCAAGCGCATATGCAGACGTCATCAGACATCCATGCGGAACACAAATAAGCTCTAGACGCAGCAAAAAACCAAGCAGCTTTGACGCCGCAGATCTAGGCAAGTTTCTCTGCTGAAGGCTGGGACTTCTGAGCTGTCAAGACATGCTGCCCCAGCTTGCGGACCGGCCGACATGTTTGCACACACTGCCTCAGATGCCATGTCTCAATCAGGGTTGTTCGGCAAAGGATTCGGACGCCTTGCAGAAGAAGTGGCGAGGGTCCGAACTGTTGACAGTTGGTGAAGCAATTTTGCCCTCGCAGAAACGGCACTGCACGCCATGTGAGTCAGGAGCCCATCTGTTACTTCTCATACTCTCACACTGTACTGGCACAACGACTATTAGACCCCTGTCGTTCACCATCATCATCCTCAACGCCACCACTGACTCATCACTTTCAACACAGTTCTCACGTCACCGCCCTCATCCTTCCGATCTTGCGGACTCTCCGGGGCACCCGAGCTGGTCTTCCGCAGCGCGCGCAGCGCTTGGGCTGGCGACCCGGCGAGGCAGCGCGGGGAGGCCGAGGCCTCGGATCCTGAGCAAACCACACCGAGTAAAGGAGAAACACCGAGGGGAAAGGAACCAACGAAACTCTAAAAACCGCATACAAAGCACCTCAATGCGCCATGAGCCATGCATGGTATAGCCATGCCAGCAATCTAGGGAGCGAGGGTTTCCAAAACTCCGGCTACAAACTTGGCACATTTCGAGATAAGCCCCTCATTCCATAATCCACACGGCCGCACCGTGTAGTTTGGGTCGCACCGTATGCTCACTACGAGGAGCCGCCACACCCCGTGGTCTCGCGATCGTGGAGTTTTGTTGTGATGTGTGGTGGGTTTTACGCCCTAAGGCCTTCGAGACAAAGAGCCATGTGTTCCGGATTGTGGCGGCTAGACCCGCTACAGGACACAGCTGTGCACGTGACATTGTAACCTGTGCCCGGCTTATCCATTCTGCTGTGCCAGCATCTGCTGCGTCCGAGCGGAGGCAAGCAAGGCATTGCAGAAGCCAGCTTGATCTCCATTTTAGACGATCTCGGCGTGTCCTGAAACATCCGTGTCGGGCGCACAGCCGCGTGCTCTATCATAATGAAGCGAGAACTCCTTGACGATAACCTGGTCGTCAGCGACGTCGGTAGGCCTGCAGCAGAGATCGCCGATCATGCAGGACCACTGAAGGATGCTCGAGTACCTGCATTGATCTACAAACCTTCAGAGTGTTGATTGTGGTAGTGTGTGTCCGACACTCACATAGCGTCATCATGGTACAAAGCCCTTGCCTGAATGCTGCTGGCAGTTGTGCTCCGTCAGCTTTACCAGGCGAGGTCGACGTCGCGACTTGCAAGGCCCGGCCAACCTCGGCCTCAATCCTGGGGCTTTGAAACCGCCACAACACGGACTTGTGACAGGTCATGGTTCCAGGCTGTCTGTCCGCATTTTCATTAAATATCCTCCACTGCCATCCTATGTCTGACTGGAAACATGTACCTGTAACACCAGAAACGTTATCGATGCCAAGTCGCTTTTTGATTTCAGTCCTGTATCAAGGGGGAGGGTTTCTGGTCCAATATGATTTAATGGTTTGACCAAGGCTTTGCGGAGTTTATCTCTGCCAGTCCTGTCTTCTCGCACCAACGGCAGAGGCGGTGGTGCGTCACAAAGGAGTCCAGCGATCTCTGCATCGTTGGCTTGAGTTGGCAGGTGCCTGGAATCATCTGGTCGGTCAGACATGGGAGACTCTACTTTTATGAGGGGTGGTGGTGGCGATCTCTGACGGCGTGCCAGGGCACAACTCCGCGCTCCATGGCTGAATGTCTCGGTAAGGATCGCCCAGCACATCAAACTCTGGGCCGACTGAGGAAGCGCATGCCTGAGCAAAGTCATTGCTTGCTCTGTCATACCAACTTTCTGCATCTTATTCGGTACCTGTCTGGCGACATGTTGACAGCCCTCAACGACGGCCCACAGTACCCTTTTTGAAACCGCCTCCTCCGCTGGTACCCTTGATTTAGCTACCATCTGCCTGTGAACTGAATGCTTCGTTGCTGACTTTAGCAGTGCTCTCACTTGCTCTAAGCAATATCCCAAGTTCTTCGATAGTATCGACATGTATCGATGTTACTGCGCATCCGGGCAGCCTCCAACACTTCCGGTGCCACGGACAGGCTTGGAAGAGATCGGCACACCCACTCCTGTTCACGGTAGCCTCGCGGGTCCAGTTTACAGCCACTTCGTCTCAAATGTGTCGCGAACTGGGGCCATCACAGTCCCCGGCCAGGCGTGGGGAAGCAGGACTTGCTTTGCCGAAAGCGGTGCTATCGCGGAGGGCCACCGGCGCCGAGCGAAGCGGCCCAAACCAGGCGTGACCGAGGCAAGCCTCTACAGCCTTGGAGTCTTTGACGATGTGACTGGGGACTCAGGCAATGCCGCGATGTTACGTCGAGTGGCAGGTCGTCGTTCAGGGTCTGTTTGCATCATCTGGCCCAGCAACTCTGAAGCTGACGATGGGACTGCCTGGTGGATTTGTTCAGTCAGAGCCGAGCCATCGTAAGACTGTAAGACCAGGAATCACAATACACGATGATACACGCAAAACCCTTGAAGTCTCCCCATGCACCCAATCCTATACTGATTCTATATACAATCTCGGGGTCCTTCTTCCAGGACGTGGCCAAGGCCCCAAGGCCATTGCTTTGGACCCACTGGAAATACTTGTCTGTGGGCCGTGCCTCGGGATTTGAAAAGCTCCAACAAGGGGGGACAGGCTCTGCTCGCGGCATGTGCACCGGGCCTGTCTCCAGGGTGGCCCTGCAAGGAACATAATGGTGATGCAGACCTGAGCAGCCCGGACCCTAGCTGCTAAGGACTGCAAAGGATCCTGATCTCCTCATCTTGTTGGACAGAGAAAGCCACTGAGGCACCAACGGCGCACGCAAAAATGTCGATTGGCGGAGCAGTGTATCCCCAGGGCTCTGCTGCACAAAGCTGTCCAGGCTCCGCCGCTTCCAACAAGCGCACATGACACAGGAAGTCCTCAAGGGCAGAGGGATCATTAGGCGCCTCTTCTTCCACAAGGAACGGCAGCAACCAAAGCCGTTGTCGCAGCTCATGTCGCGAACCCGGCATGTAAACAACCACTCAACCTAGCCTCGGTACTGTCGTCGGGAAACCCCTTGCAGAACCGCTTGCTGCATGTCATGTCCTGTGCCGAGGTTAGCGCCAAAGCAACCTGTCCCGCTCGAGAACTGGTGGGCGCAATTACTGCCAGCGATCCTTCAGAGTGGAAATCATCAAACGTGTCAGGAGGTTTCGGAAAGTACTGCCAACCATGGATTGGAGGCTTCTTCACACTTCTCGACGGGACTCCTTGATTTGGGATGTAGGCCTCTGGTGGCCGATAGTACGGCTTCCCCGCCGGAACAAAGTATCGACAAAGCTCGCCTGGCGGGAGCGTGGCAGAGAAGTCTTGCTGGAACCGCGGTCGAGCGAACAACCGCACTGATGCCTTTGCTACGATGGGCAGACCGCGGGGCTTGTTTCATCAGACATGGAGTGTTAATTGTTACAGGCTGCCATGAGTCGACTTGCTGGGCCTGTCTCCAGGTGTGTCTGCACTGCTTGCCCGAAGTCCATGAGCCGAACATCTCCACCGCTTAGCAGCACGTTCTCCAAGGAGATGTCACGGTGGCTGATGCCTAATCCGGCTGAGCGGGAGAATCTCTTGGGCTCATAGCAAAAGCTGGTTTTTCATGCTCAGACTATCATGTAGGGAAACCGAAACGTATCCATGAACCGGGATGCACTGCAAGTGTAGAAATTTCACAGCTTGGAGCAGCTGCCAGGCCCAAAGCATGATCTGTCCGGTGGACATTCGCCGGGAGGACACCACACCTGCTCTCACAGCTCTGTGAAAGTATGGGCAGTAGCCAATTTCCTTTAACTTTATATAATCTCGCACGACGAAGTCAGATTACAGCGGTGGCATGCGGAAGCCCCCTTCGAAACCTGAAAGATGCAAACCAGCAGCCGAAAAGATCGCCGCCATCTGCGTTCTCGAGGACTAGCCAGATCTCCTCGCTAACTTGAAACGCGGACAGCATCTCCAGCAAGTACCTGGGATTCATCAGAGAAGACTCTTAAGCAGCAAGTCGACCAGTGCCATCCAGTGCCGATCTCCATGCTTTTGCCGGCAGGTTGCTGAGGTGTATTTTCGCTCTGGCGCCTCGGTCGCTGCAGTGACTGCAGTGTGTACTTACAGATTCTGTTCAGAACACCGCTTTTTGCCACGTGATCATGTCTCATTGCAGCGTGCACATCTCTGAGTCAAGCACAGGAGGCTGAACACACCGATCTCAGCCAACGGATCCTCCGGCTCTACTGGCTCGTGTTCTCCCGCGACACTCGCGTGGCTTATCAGGGCTTCTGACGGTCCTCCGAGTCGCGTGCAACGGAGCGCTGATGCATTGCGAGCTCGCTTCCGGGCTTCCCTGTCAAGTAAGGACTCTGAAGGCGACATGGCCGCAAGCCATACAAAGCGCGGGCCTCTATTTATGTTGACGCGCTCTGCGGGCAGCTTCTTGACCTCAGAACAGTTGCGCTCGTAGGTGGGATCTGTGACAATCTTTGCCGCACAGCTGCTCAGGGTTACCATCCGCAACTGCAAACTGAGCCGGCTGCCACGACGAGCTCGTCATTGTCTTCAGAGGACCTTCACTTGCTGGCCACTGCTTTCAGGGGTGCTGCCTATCTGGATATGTTATGATATGTTTTGGTTGCACACGGGTTCGTTGTGACTAACTTTGTCAATGCCAGCTCATCCGTAGAAATTTTAGGTCCAAGCGTCATCGAATGTAGCTCGACTCTGCCCTGTCCTCTGCAACAATCACTCAGATCTTTTCCTTAAATGTGCAGCTGCAAACGCCAATCTCTGACATCCAAGATGTTTCAAATCGCGACCATCGGGGCTCACATGCAGTATCAATGTTGTTTGCACCATCTTGCACCCATCGCACCCGGGACCTGAATCCTGCCAAGACTCTTTTTGTAAAGCGGCCGGTCGAAATTAGGCTGTCAATGCTAGCAAAATCCTCAGATCCAAGTCGGAGCACGGCAGCGCCAGGCGGAAGTCTCTTGACTCTAGATCTCGATCACCAGTGTGCGAGCCCGTATTCAAGGCTTTGCACAAGAAGCTCGAAGCTCGTAGAATCTCGGGCCAGGCAGCATGAAAGTAGTTCAAGTTCGTACATCGAGGATCTAAACCTGCATCTGGTCGGCCATCAACCTTCGGTCACAAAAGTAGGCACCGCCATTGTGTTAGCGCATGCTCCCGCAGGATGGGAGCATTGGAACTCCGGATGAAGCCGTGCCTTCTCGTACGGCCGGGTAGACCTGCAGCATCAACATCCACCCAAAAAGGTTGAGATCAGAGCGACCAGAACGGCGTGCTCTTTGTCCTGACTTTAAGACTGTAAGCCGAGTTCTGCACCCGAAATCTAAACCCCTTTTTACACAGGCTTGTGTGAATCCCCTTAAGCCCTTTTTTGCATCCAGCCTGCAAAGCCTCCCTTTTTGCTGCAAAGCCTCCCTAAACCCCTAAACCCAAGGGCTCTCTCCAAGGATGTCCGAGCCACCTCGGCTCGACAGCTCCTACGGAGGCGCCGGCAGAGGTGGCCGAAGAGCAGCCTCGGCTTTTTCGCTCAAAAGCCAAGTACCTTTTGTTGAATAATTCCTTAAAGGAACCCTGTTCTAACGAATAATTAGAATAGGGTTCCGTTAAGGGGTTCTGTGAGGGATCCATAGTAGGATTCTATAATATAGGGGCCTTGACCTTGTTCCTTGACAAGTTTAAGAATAGGGTTCGTTTCAAGGGGTCCTTTAAAAGGGGTCTATAGGGGATGGTTCGATATCAGGGGCCTTCATGATTAGAATGCGGTTTTGGTGCCAGTGATACTAACAACATAACAAGGAACCCCCCAAAATAGTAGTGGTACTTACGTTTAGGCTTTTGCCTTCTCTATAGGGTTTCCGGTCTAGATAAAGCATCGGCTGCAGGTCCGAGAAGCTCGTCCCGCTGTCAGTGCTGCACAAGTCCTGCTCGGTCACAACATCCTTGCCTGAGCACAGGCAGAGGTAAAGTGGTCAATCAACACACGTCTCTAAATCAAGCACAGCGCGATTCATGTGTCCACCGACTTCGCTTCTAGATAGGCCCAGGTTCGGGTGACTCGTACTGAAGCACTGGCCATGGCCTGGCAATTTCAGTGGGTCCGTTTTGAGCTTAGCTTTCTGAAAAGGACATCAAACAAGAGGCAAGCGGACGAGTGGTGCGTTCCCGCTTTCATTCTCGACAGCATGGCACAAGTCAGGACGGAGCTATGCACAATACTCTGTGACAGGACTGTGCGCACTCCTGCCTCCAACCCACCAAGGGAGGCGATGCTGTGCTGCGAGCCCAAACGGGGTCGAGTGGCAACAGCGAACGCCGCTTTCAAAAATCGTCGTGCAAAACTGCGACTGCCGCGAAGCTGTACTGCAAGATTCCAGTTGGCACAGTCTTCTGTTCAAGACAACCTGCAAATGCAAGCTAAAGCTAAAAGCTGTTTGGCTGTGTGGAGATCGCTTGCTATCCCACCGAAACGGCTAGCGAAGGCTTGTCTTTTCGGGGCGCAGAAGCTATGCTAGATGCAAGTCCGATTGCACTAACGGTCACTAATGCTCTCAAGTCAGCAGGCCAGAACCGCTGCATCTCTGCCGAGCCCGCTTTCCTCGCGGAAGCGGTCTGCAGCTTCGAATTGCCTTGCACATATGCAGCATCTGCACAAGTTTGGTAATGGCAGAAGAAATGAAAGGATGCAACAAACTTCAAGCTTCTTTTGACGAGCTGATGAGGCGGCGGCATGACAGACTCTTTGCTGTCAGCTGCAGCCCCCTCCTCTGCATCCTGGCGCGACCGGGAGTATGACCCCCCCCAAGTCCTGCAAAATCAAACCGACAAGTCAGACGCCAACACGAGCCTCGTCTGTAATGCGCCCGGGAAGCACATCCACAGGCTCCGGTGTCGACTCGGGTGGCGACTCCGGCGCTGAGGGCGGCTCCTGAGGTTCCTTGCAGACTCCATTCTGCAATTAAACACCGAACAGGCCGTCATGACATGTCATGACCATGGGATGTTATGGCTGAAACGCCTTGAACAGCTCATCCAGTCGTAGCTGGCTATCCAGTTGCAGGTCCCTGCCAGGCCGCACATCGTACGAATGCTGGCAGTGCAGAGACAAGCTAAACAACGTTACCACGAGCCAGACGCCTTAGAATTTGGCTTGCACGGGAAATCTCCTTCGCCATGTGCTGCCACTCTTGGGCTTTGCTCCTGCAGCAGGTCGGCTTATGATGAGGGCACACCAAGCTAAACAAGGAGCCCAATGAACACTGCGAGCCAGCTTGATGGAGCTGTGATCACACGCGATGCAACAAGTGCGCACGCCCCATGCTGCCTATGCTAGCAGAATTCCGCAAGTGCCTCTGCACGTCGATGCGGGTCAACGGGCAAACAACCTCAAGTTCAGCATGAACAGGAAGCTGAGGGTACAGAAACGACGACTAGTCCTTACCCGAGGCACTCGGAGGACTTCCAGCGGCGGAGGAGGGGGTGTCTGCGGGCTGCAGTTCGACTTCTCCTTTCCGATGCAAAATGCTCTACTGTAATCTAGGTCCGGAGCTCAGGCGGCGAGTGCTCCGTGACCAAAGGTGGTAAACTCATCGTGTAGGCGATTCGAACAACGCTAGCCTCTGCGGAAAATAAACCAAGATACGTGCAAGGCCTCGGGGAGCCCTTATGCAATCAAACAAACCTCCGACCTCCCGTTCCGTTTTGAAGCAATGGTCGGAAGGCCACCCTCGTACACACCCTAAAGACGTCTTGCTAGGGCTATTCATGTTGCAGTAGCAGATCTGTCTGACGCCGATAATTACCCGTCGACTGCAACTAAGAGGGCAAAACGCTCCAGAAGCCATAAGATTTTGCAATCACTGGAATGCTGTGCATGGCAGTAGCAGGACCTCGTCCTGTTCGGAGGCAGCCGGAGCCACCCAAACCGTTCCGCCGGAGCTCCAGGCTGGCTGCGCGAAGTAATCCTCGCAGGAGATCCGCAAGCTCTGCTCCCTCTTAACAGTGTACCGTGTGCACTCCGATATTGTATCGCTGCAATCACCGCCCATTGCCGCACCGCTAGGGCAAACGACGAGCAGAGCTCAACCTCCGTCTGGCACTCAATCTTCCAATCAATCAATCTTTCTTGCGAGTCTTCGCTCGCTCTCTCTTCCTTTTTGCTTCTCTTTCTCTTTGCCCTGCCGTGCCGTGCGGATGGAACCTTGAACTAACAGAGACAGGTAGCTACATGACCCACGTGGGATCAGTTGGGTGCGTGCATGCGTGTGCCATATTGCCATATTGCAGGCGAGAATCGAAGAATGCCACGAACGTCCTTTCCAGCATTTTGGGAGTGCAGAGCTTCTCCTTCTTGGCCTTGCAAGAGCGACCCCAAGAAGACTTCGCAGCAGCTGCGTCAGGACATGGATGGAGCAAGCTGCTCTGGCTGCACAACTAGGCCTTATGTCGAGAGCTGCATCACTGCTTCGGTGCAATGCGTGCAGTGCTGCACGGGAAGAGCACATCTTGGGAAGTGAGTTATGCGAGGAACAGTGCACATCAAGGACAGCCGCGGCCTGCATCCAAATCTGCAGCGGTTCTGGCGAAGAGTCCTCCTGCACTTTCAGTACAAGCCTGGGCAACCAAACGAGATGCAGCGGATTGATGCTTCCGGTGGCTTTCGACTTGACCATGTGGTGCCACAGCTAGTTCCGGCTCTAGGCAGCTGCTGCACAGCAAGGACTGTGACGACCAGCGCAGTTGATCCAAGCAGCTCTTGAACTGAATGCGGGGGCAGCTTGGAAGCTTTGCCTTCCTGTAGCACCTTTACGGCCATCAGGACCAAAGTGTAGGTGCTGAATCCGCCTTCCAGATGCTTCTTCGGATCAAGACATGGCCTGCCTTCTTTTCCCACCCGCCCAGCTGACAAAGTCGCACCGCAGGGAGCTCGTCCGAAAGGGCTCAAGGATTTGCCCTTACTGCCTTTGGCTCGGTCGCCCAGCTGCCGCCGGCGGGCCCAGTGCTTCAGGAGCCGCACCACCTGGGCAAACAGGCCTTCTATGATTTCTCTACGCTGACACTGCCGAGTGATGGTGATTTGTGTAGCAGAAACTGATCACGTAGAAGGCTTGAAACGACAAGCATCGAACAGCACAACTTTACAGGAAAAGGGGTGGCCGACTTCAGCAGCGCTGAGAAGTTCAGTATCTGCAGTGTTGTTGGCCGGGTTGCAGGACCCAGCAGTGGCTCCATCTTGCACAGGCCTTGCACCAGGCGACTGTTCTGCAGACCTTCGACCAGGTATCAGGGAGCAGTGAGAGCAAGTGAGACAGCTAAGCGGGCAGTAGTGGCGGCGGCAGTGGCAGTGGTCGTGGTTGTCATCATCGTCACAGTCGCAGCGTCGCAGCAGCAGCAGCAGCAGATGCGGGAGCAGTAGCAGTAGCAGTCGCAGCAGTGTTCGGCAGCAGTAGTTGTAGTAGGAGGAGGATTAGTTCGAGCGGCAGCAGGTGCAGCAGAAGTACGACGAGGCGGTAGCGCAGGCGAGACGGAGCCAGCAGCAGGAAGAACAGCAGCAGTGGTCGGGTGTAGTGTCAGCTACTGGTTGCGTCGCATCAACGTCATTGTCCAGTTCTATACCGAAGTGCGAAAGGCGGGACAGCGAGCAATCTTGCCATGTGTGCAGAAGCATGAGTCGCCAGTAGGCGCAAGTCTATGTTGCTTGTTTACATGTCTCCGTGACCCAAGCGGGAATGGTGGATTTCAGGGGAAGGCCTGGCATGAAGCCTGGAATTATCATGAGATATTATCCGAACAAGATGTTCTGGCGCTCTGCACAACCGCAACCAATGTACTTATGTTACATCGTCACTCGGGCATGCAAGGAGAGACCGTCGACATACTTGCGACCTGCACAGCTGGCTCCAAACTCACATGAATCTGCCGTCGGCAGGAGACACTTCTGATGGTGCAAGAATGTAGCACCAAACACAAACAACAGGAGAGTTGTCAGGCATTGGCAGGCCTTCGTGGTTGTTGACGGAGACGTCGCAAAGAACCTCTTCGTCGCTGCCGAAGAATTTCAGCACGGGAACCCGTGCACGGATAACATACAGTTTCCTTGCAGGCAGCAGGCAGCGCATTACATCATGATCACAGGGCGAAATTCGACCTGGACATTAATGCATCGTGTAGGAAGCGCTATTGATTCGGCGAAAGGACGTTGAAGTACAGATTCCAATCTCCGTCGCTTCTGCTGCTCCGCTACGGCCACCACCACCACCACCCCACCACCGTCAACAGCCTCACCCCTCACCGATTACACCCAGCCTACACTCCCGCCCTCCCGGCAATTACACTGTATTCTCAGGCGAATGGCAATCTTGGCCGTAGGGCTAATAATAGGCTCTCACTGCCACGTTTGATTGGAGCTTGTCTGCCTCTGACTCTAGCGTACGCCCTCCTGCCTGCTTGTATCATGCTGATTCTGACGAGGCTGCATGTCCAAGGACTGCCTGGATGCAGGCAAATGGCTCCACGCCCTCGAAAGTGAATCGCTCAGCCTGCAGTTGCGACTTCACCAGAATACAAAACACAAAAGCAGGGCAGCTCTGCGTTCGTGACGAACTCTGCAAATGATCCTTCCTTAGGCTTGAAGTTGATGAGCAGCACAAATGCAAACCGACGCACATGTTGCTCCCTGACCCGAGTTTCACGGATGCGACCCGCCGAGTTCTCTTCAGAAGCGTGGTGCTATGGGCGGGGTGGGACGAACGGAACGGGTGCCATCCACCCGTGGCTTTCTGCCAGGCTTGACTGCGGTTGAATGTAGGAAGGGCCTGGTCAGGTGTGCAATGGCTGTCTGTCGCTCGCTCATCTCGTTCAACCGGAGACTTCGAGACACTTGGAGCAGCCGTCGTCCCTGTTGCCAAGCCAGTTGATCGAGCAAGCTGGGTGTTCCCGAACAAGAACTCGAAACATGGTCAAGCAAGCACATGACTGCAAATCGAATGAACAGGCAAAGCCTTTACACAGGACCGTCTTTTCAGAGCACTCACGGAGTGCGTATGACAGTGATCTTAAGATCACTTGCCCATGATTACGTGATGCTGTCTTGCGGAAGTGCCGCCATCGCCCCAGTAAGGAACCGAGGTTTTAGCGATCTGGCTTCTGGTCAATCCAGTCTATTCGACGCTTTCAAACCCCTAGATTCCTAGATGGCCGGGTTCTGTAGCAGTAGCAAATGCTTGCATCATGCCTGACACCCGAGCCCACCTTCGCCCTCAACAGGCGCAGCGCTCTAAATTGGACAAGGCGTGCAGAGATGCCTTGGTGCCATGCAGCAGGCCTGAATGTGTCAGAAGTCCTGCAGGCACTTTCTTGCAAACCAGGTGGCTGTCCCTCGGCTCTTCTGGCTGTGGAGAGACAACGGGTGGTGGCGGTGGCATTGGCAAACCGCTGAGAGGAGACGGAAGCGTCCGCAAGTCCTGAGCCTGGGCGGCCTGGGACTCAGAGACCTCAGCTTGGCTACACTGGTTACGCGGTATCCCACACAGTGAAGTGGCGGCTCCCGGCCTCCGGCGAAGCATCTGGATCCGATGTTTCATCATCTGGTCGCGCTGGACAGGGCTCTGACTCTGGCGGGGCTGCAACTGTCGATGTCTCTGGTATGGGAGGTGGCGGGTGCGGTTGCTGAAGAGCTGGGGCTTGGGCTGGGCGAGGTTTGGGAGGATTAGGTCTCCTCCGCGCTCGGTTCGGCGGAATCAGAGCTTGATGCTCCAAGGCCGGTGGTGTCGGGGGCAGTTGGACTGCATTTGGGGGCGGTGGCGGCACCAGAGCTTCCAGCTCCAGAAGCATTTGCTCAGCAGGGGCTGCCTTGCGCAGTCCATAACCTCGCGAGCAAAAGAACTCGAGTTGCTGGTTCTCGCGCAGCGGTTTGGCGCAAACGAGGAGCTTGCAGAAATCCCGGGAGCAAGCTTCGCATCGGTCGGCGCCCGAAGCTCCTCACAAGCGATAACCATTCCCTGATTCGACCGATTTTCCCGACCGTGACCATTCATCAAGCCCGACTAGACACTTCTTATTTTGGCACACAGTCCTGCTAAAAGGATGGCAGGTACGCTGAAAACTGATCGATTGAGAACCGACGTGCAAATCAAGTTCTGTCGCTCCTGTGAGACGAGGCCTCTTTTGGCCACTTTGTTTTGGTCGCACAGCCATGTGAGGTCAACATCCTTGGTTGTGACGGAGAGTAGCTGTCAGCAAGCATTCAAAATGTGCTTCTTAGATCTTCTTAGCCAGCACTAAATGCTGCAGCAAAAGTACACGGTTTAACTCTGTGCTGCTAGGAAGGGTAAGGCAAACACTCTGGAATAGCTGAAAGAGCCAAGATTGCCAGCAAGTGGCAGATCCTTGCATGAAGGTCCCATTGCTACACGATCCATAGCAGTGGGTCTCGCCATCAAGCTGCTCACCTGGGATGCACGACAATCGCGTCTCTTTGCGTCGAGTCTTTGCTGGGAAAGGATGCTCATAGCACCATGGAAATCTCTTGCCACGTTGTGAGTTGTGTCCCACAGGATCAAGAGGCTTAAATCAGCCTCAGGCCTCTAAAGGGCTTCAAGGAGCTGATCAAGGGAGTTACATGGAGTTGCGTGCTCCGAGCATGTGGTCCGCCTAGAGGGTGGGGTCGGTTTTGCTGATACTCTGTAAGGGCCGGGCAGACGGATCGAACCATACTCGCCAGCTTCTGTGCTTTCTCCTGCTGGTCTGGTGAAGGGCGTAGATCCTGACAGATCGAATGCGACGATACGACGGATAGCCAGAATACAGGGATGCGCTGAAACCACACAGAGCCCTCATCGTTGCAGCTCCGCGTCCCGCTCCAGATGGAAGAGGAGAGCAGGAAAGGGCTTCACGGCAGTTCCCAAAGCAACGCTTTGGCCCTGGGATTGCTGGAAACATAGCCGTGGACCTGCTTGCAAGCGCAAGTTGAGTTGCCTGACAGCTACCAACGTAGGACTTGCAACAGTTGAAGTATTCTTTTTTTTGGTGTGGCCCTCCAGTCCGTTTGGTGAGGCTCTCTCCAAAATCAGCTTGCCCAGCAAGTGCTGGTAACATGTAGGCTGCAGGCAGCACGTGTCAGCAATGTACCCGGAAACCTCCCCCCCGCGAGCATACAACACCAGGGCTACAGTAACTTTCAGGCCCGTGGTGACGGCGACATGTCTACGAAGCCAAACCCTTCCAAGAGCCTTCAGACTTCAAGCTCGCCTGGAGAACCCTTGAAGCTCCCAGCGACACCTCTGGATGATAGCAATCCGCCGAAGGCCGCGCGCCGCGAGCGGTTCCATCGCGAAGGGCGCATGGAGTACGTGGACTAGCTGGACAGGTTGGAGGTGGTTTTGGCTTGCTGCAGTCGGACTTGCCAAGGGGTCTTTTTGCTTTACTCTACGGAATTTAATGCAATACGAAAAGCCAACCAAGTCATCTACAACCAAATTCCAATGACATCTTGTCATGCACAAACAAACACTGCGCCAAAGCGAATCAGGGTAGGCCAGGGCTTAAAGCATTGCTTTCCGAGACTGGGTCGGGCGGCCCGAGCGGGCCAAGAGCAGTTGCATTTACGGTCCAACGCCTAAGTTCGTAAGAGCCGATGCAATGTCACAGTTTCGCTAAGACTAGGTCCAAGGTATCGAAACTCTCGCTGAGCATGCGTGTGCCATGTCGATACTACTGTCTTCACAGGCTCGAGAGGAACCGAGGAAGCTGGAACAAATTCAAGCTTGCGGTGCCGAGGAAAAAAAAAAGCGGTGCGGTGCGCCACTTCTCCCAAGCCAAAGATTCGGTAGTGGCGCTGCTCAGGGCGGCCTCGGTTCAAGCAAGGGACGTCATCTTTCACCCTCTCAAACAGCTGCGAAAGTAGCTTTGTCGGGGCGTTTGTTGTCAGTGGCACGCTTCTGTGCATTGGCCACAAGGTCTGTGATGTCTGCATGCCAGTGCTTGAGGGTGGCGGCTGCCTGTACACTCAGCCACCAAAATTCGATCATGCGCAGGAGGAGAGATCTCTGTCACATCCATCGCGCAACTCTAGAAGCATGAATACTCGTAGCACGGCAGGGGGCAGGGAGGCGCAGCTCTCCAAGGTCAAGCCGCTCAGGCTGCTCAGCTCACTTTCACAAGCTGTGCGAACTGCCGAAGCAGGTCGTTGCCGTTCCGCTTCAGGCTTGGGCGAGGGCGGCAGTCATGCTGATCTTCGAAACGATGCTTCAAGCATACCTTCATGCCGCAGGTGCCGCAGTTACACGAGTTCGAGAAGGTTAGCTTCTCTTTGCAACCCTTCACCGGGCACCGATTCGGCTTGGCTGCCTCTTTGGGAATGCAGTTTCCGCTGGTGGCATGCCTTTCCCAAACTTCGTTTTCGTCCTCGCCATGTGCCAAAGGAACTGGCGCAGAGCAAAGTGGGCACACTATCACACGACGGTCTGTGGCCGCTCGCCCCTTGGGGCAATCATGCGCTGCATAGCTGAAATGCTGTGAGCAGTAGGCTTTGCCGCAGGCGTCGCACTCGAAAGGGAGCAAGTCCTGCTGATTGCAGTATGCATGGGAGCAATGCTTGCCACAGTCGCTGAAGTTCGCCATCGCAAGATGAGCCGATTGTGACAGGCCGAAAACCCCTGCACAAAATTGTGTCTGGTTGCTCATTGAGCCAAGCCCCAAATGCATCATGTGTAAGGTCAGCCCTGCAAAACAGAAAGTCTTGCCAATAGGCGGCAGCGTCAACTTATGCAGCTTTGTGGGATATTCTGCCACAGGCCCCCGTGCTGCCAGGGCACATCGTCAAAAGTCCCAACACGTGCCCAGCACGCAGAGGGTCCAGGACTTAGTTCGACCGTGCAGATAAAGCTTTGGCTCAATCTGAACTGAGCGGCAAGTCAGACAAGGTGCCACAGTGCCACATTATTAAACCAAGAAGAGCGCTTCTGTTTCATGGACTTGCCACTTACTGCAACACGCAATACTTGCAACAGAGCATGGGCTTCGGGGCAAGGAGCCTTCGGCCGCCGTGGGTGCAAGTAGAAATCGTCGACCTCCCGCATGCGACGGAAGCAATCTTAGCTTATCGAAATCCTGCAGCAGCAACATGTCTGCATGGGTCAAAGAACGCTTGGTAATGAGCAAGAACAGCGATTGGCGCTGCACGTGTCGTTGCAGCGCTGATCTGCGGGAAAAGCGTCACCGTGCGAGAAAATGCCTGGCAGAGGAGCTGCTCCAAGCAGCCCTGGAGGCCTTGAGCGCAGACCTCGGAGGACAAAAAGAGCTTCGTAGACTCGGGACTACGCAAAGCCGCAAAGCGAGCTAGAGCCTGCGTTACGAATCTCCCCGTCACACGGAAGGGTTCCGGCCACTTTTGGAATTACTTGATAGGCGCTGAACCTGCTTCGTTCGAGACTGAGGACAACGGATGCCAAACGCAACAAAAGCTTTCCCGATGTACCTCTTACTGAATGTGTCTCCCTGACTCCAAATCCAGCATGCACGAGCAATACACAACTTGTTACATACTTCCGGTTTGACCCACTCATTTAATCTGCTGGGCTTCTGGGGTCTGCACGGCGACTGCCAGAACGATCAAGGCAGAGTGGAGCCTGAAGCTTCGTGGCAGCAGTTTGGGCTGAAAAAAGGGAACGGGGAGAACGACGGGATGCACAAGCGGGCTCGAGTTTGGCTGAGGCCCTCTCTTGCGAAAGCTGCAGAGCGCAGGCCTGTCGGAGAAAGCACGTCCCAGAGAACATCAGGGAAGCTGGTGAGTCGTGATTTTGAATGACCCGGGTCTCTGCAGACAGACTGCTGCGTCTGCGCTGTGCCCAGGAGCCCGCCTGGCCTAATGCTCACCACGAGAAACTCGCAAGCGCAGATCCCAAGCACTGCCAGCAATGTGAGGCCGCCCCTGCCAGTAAGATTGCTCTGATTCCAGAGTCTCGGAGTTGAAGAGGCATCGCAGCGGAAGGGCTGGAGAGAGGTGACTTTCCATCCATGGGCCTGTTCAGCCTGTGAGGTGTAAGAGTTGCCAAGGCCCCGAACCTTATTGAAATCTATTCAGACGTTGGTGGGCGGTCGGTGTCTCCTGGGTTCTCGTTCGTGTGCACATCTGTGGCAGTGGTTCTTGAATTTGTCTCCCACAGCCTTCTCCATCAAGAGCCTGTGAGGTGCCATGATGTCCTGCTTCGGTATATACCTTCTTAGCCCCACTGCATGGCGACGGATAGGGAGAGGAGGGAGAGAGAGAGAGAGAGAGAGAGAGACAGAGAGAGAGAGAGAGAGAGAGGGGGAGGGATCCCGATGTGGCAGAAGTCCGCAAAGAATCACACACAGAGACCCAGGAAAGGAGCGGTGAAGTGTTGTTTTCGGCTTTGATGAACACAGATCCCTGTCTGGCCAATTCATGCAAGGGCAGCAGTTATCCAAGTCCCGCAACTACATGCCAAACCCCGTCGCCTCATGAAAGTCACCGCTGCTGCAGAGCAAAAGATCACCATCGTTGCCGGCAAAGCATCCATTCCTGGCAACGGCAACGTCTTTCTTGCCGTTACTTCGGTGTTATTGTTGTTGCTTCGTAACCGACTCTGAACGTAAACATGCACGACCGTGTCGGTGCCTTTGCAGTCTTTTCTTGGGTGCCCCCGAGCTTCGTGACAGAAGCCGTCCAACACCCACGAAACTGCAAGGATTCTGCAAAAAATACTCAGCAGAAAGCCGTTGCTCCTGCACCGCCGAGCATGAAGACTGCCCCCTTCGCAGCTAGGATGAATGCCAGCGTGTCGCTGGAGGGCGAGTACAGCAGAATCCTGCACAGAGTGTCCGTTGCTGTAGCAGATTGGCAAATCCGACTTCAACTTTTCGCCGATAGCGTGACCTCCAGGGCCACACATGCGCACCCAGGCATTGTCCGTACTCCCAGCTGAGAAACTCCTGAGTCGCATTGTGGACAAGTTTTCCGGGACCTCACTAGGCTCATGGGCATGAGAAACAAGGGCAGATCACATGCCCCTTTGAGGGGAAAAATGAAAAGTGTCACAAAAGCTTAGCCGAGCTCTTCGAGTTCAAGCCGAAGATTCCCGTGGCTTTGCAGGGATCGTCATCCTGAGAAGACCGCTCACACCGATTCGGATTCCTTGCAGTGCGTCTGTCCTTGCTGGCGTAGAACGATATGTGTATCGGAACATTCCACCAAACCCTTGCTCGTCCCATCGTTTATTTCCAGCGAAAACCCTTGCTTCTCGCTTCTCTTGTGAGTCTCTCGTGTATTCATCCTTGCAAAATGTTGCATGCTGTCGACAAAATCACTTCGGGTCCAACCCAATAGATTCGAGTTATTTCCTTGTTGGCTGGCACTCCTTCCTGCCTACAGCTTCGCCCTCGGCTCTTCGCCCCTCTACGCATGCATTGCCGCATGGGGCTGCCTCGTTCTACTGCTTGCCGCAGCTGGTGAGCGTGCGGTGTCTGTGGAACCCGGAGTGCAAAGGAGCACTGCGACATTCAACCGCAAAAGTCAAACCCTGCCCACAATTCAACAAAAAGGCGAGAATCGTGTAAAGACTTCAACGGGTTCAGCCTAGATACTGTGCGCCTGCGAAGGTGTCTTGCTGCAGGGGGAGCAAGGAGTCCTTGGGAAACCTGATGCGCAGGAGAACGCAAAACGCATGTTGTGATGTGCCAGGCTGAAGATATGACAGACAGAAGCTTTACTTCAAAGAAACGTGAAGTCAGCATGGTCGTTGACCCGCTCCCACCACTCAATGTCTGAGTACCTCGGCTCCTGTTGGAGCTTCTCGCGGTTTGATTGGGGATCTGGGTCTAGCAGCCGAAGTTTGCAGGAAAATGCAGGGAGAGATCAAATCAAGTGTTGTTGGCAGGTCCTAGTCGCACCACATCAGTAGCATTCCGTAGCGTGTGTCTGGTCCTTCTGCCATGCTCGGCTCTTCTTGACCGGGGCATACGCGAAGATGTCGATGCAAACCTGAGCGCGAAACGACAGGTCCTCCTGGGCAGGCTGCTGGGAATCCGAGGTCCGAGCACCAGTTTTCCGGTGAGCCACACGGCCGACCATACGCTTGTTGTCACCGGCGCAGTCCTACAAGAGCGCAGTACTGCGAATGCCCGACGGCTTCACAGCAAACACTGTCGTGTAGTAGGCCACTGCTCAACACCCAACCTCTTCACAAGTGCACGCAAACTTGAGCACTGCGAAGTCTTCTCCCACTGCTTTGCTCAGCGACTCCTGCACGGAAACTTGCGTGCTACATTTCACCGATCGGGATGGCAGAACGTAACCAAAGACGTGTAGCCGTGTGGCCCGAGGCCGAGGGTTAAATTGCTTCTTGCGACGACGAGAGACCCAGCCTTGCTGGCACCAGCTTGGATGCAGTCCTAGCCACCGGGGAGGATGCATAGCGAAGACTGGAGGACTAAGGCTCAGGCTCTACTGTAAGGTTTGCAGCCAATTCAGCTTTCGACTCTCTCAGCTGGGCAAAACAAGATGACTCTTCCGGTCGGTAAGGCCTGACCTGTTTGTCACAACTCTTGTCCGACAGGGAGAGCCGCCGGCGCATCTCTCGATTTGTGTGTGGGTACTTCGGCTATGGTTTATGGCTTAAGATGGCTTAAGGACTTAACACATTGTTCGGGCCACCCTGGTCGAAAGCAGCCGAGAGGCGGCTTCCAGGATTCCAAGGTCGCCATCGGAGTCCCACGGTAGCTGTGACCGATTGTGTCGCAGCCAGCCGATCCTCGAAGTTCGACAGGGAGGGTATGGCTACGATTATGTCGACAATCATAAAATAGAAGGTCAAAATGTTTAATGGAAATCTTGTTCGTTTGACTCATGAGCCTGTGCCTGGCGCCTTGCACCGACAGCTTCCTTCACCGCCTCCTGCGACACATCCTTCTCGCTCAATTAGCCATCGATCGCGCTACATGCCTGCAGGAACCGCTGCATGCCGAGAAGCCTCATTCTAGTTCTCGCGCTGATCTTATGGCAGAAGCAAAAAATTTTTAAAAAGATAAGCAACTCCCCGAATTCGCATCTGTACGGGTCTGATCTCGTGACGCCGTGCCATGGAGCGACCTTCCTTATCCCATCCTCGTCTGGTTGCGGGTCTTACTGCATGCAGAACAGCGGCAGTCCAGCAGACTCCAAGAAGGCAGGCACGCCGACGCTTTGCAGAGCTTTGGCAGCCGTGTGCGTTGCAGTTGTCAGTGCCTCCAGGCGATCCTTCTGCCTCCGCTGCTCATGTACCGCCAGTCAGTACAGACAGTTTGCTTCTTGACTCTCCGTGTTCAGCGATGCAGAACGTTGGACATGGCTTGAGCGATTTAAAGACATGTCAGTAATCGATCTTGCAGCACTTGCCAAGCTGCTGCATAGAAGCCTGCCAGTATTCCGGCGCAAAGTGCTCCTCGCTTGTGTACCGCACTCTCTGTCAACCATTCCCTTTGACGGCCCTCATGCTCCCTCACACCTTGCTTCGAATGAAAACCTTCCTTACAAACTTGGCATGGTAAAACATGGAAAAAGTATCCCGGCATTCTTGCTACCTCCCAACGGCAGACCTGCAAGCCACACATTCAGAACGTGAAGG